TTGACAAAGAGTGGAAAGTGGTAGTCGAAAGTGATGATTAAGAAAGTAAAAGTTTGTTAAAACCTGTTTATTAATAAATAAATAAAAAAATGTTAATAAAGTTTCGGAAGTAAGGTTTAAACCAGTTCATAAATAATCGTGTCAAAAAAAGGATTAATATTAATTTACAACAAAATTATCAGAGGAATTAATATTGACCTGGAATTATTTAATGAGGTGTTATGTGACGGGCAAATATATGCAGTTTTTTGCATATGTAAATTTTTTGAATACGATTTTGTTTACTAAATCCTAATTAGATTCACGAAGTCACTGTTTTTTAACAGTCACTTTGAACTTTTGAAAAAAGGAAATTGCGACGGTTTATTTATAGTGTTTTCATATACTAAAAGATTTATCTTTTTAAATTATTTGTTATGCAAATAAATGCAAATTCGTAAAATTTATAAATCGATTTCAGTATTACGAATGCCAAAAGATATACAGCAGCCCACGTCGTATTCCTAACTGGTGACAAGTCGTATTTTCTTACCATTTTTGTCGTTTTCGGCTGCACCCAAAACGTGTCCCTTTGGATTCACTTTCAAATTGCAGATGAGAGTAGTTGAACGTTCTGGTCCTGGTAAAATGAAACTTTCTTCTTCATAGTGGTTTTAGTACCTCTTCTTAATTTATATAAGATGTTGCAGTTTTACAGCACGTGAAACTCTTACTGATTTCTGAAACATATCAACGGTGTCACAAATTAGTTCTATATCTAGCTTCTGTACGATAACTTTTATAATATATAATGCAACAAAGATTCTTTGATCTACTTTTTGGGTGTTGTATATGTGTTGGTTTCTGTGATGATCTATTATATCAAGTAGTACAGTTTAAAATGTTGATTTTCTTATGTCAAATTAGATGTATCTACTTCAACTACAAAATGGCATCCAACATTTGCATAAAAATTAATCATTCTTACCTTCCGTAGCTTTCTGAATCTTTATATACTTCTGTGGAAGTCGCTATATGAACCAGAAGTATCTAAAAAGTGGTTTTCCTTCACATCTGAATAATACGCTGAAAAAAAAATTAGAAATGAAAAAAAAATTGAGAAGAGATAGTAAAATAATTAGTTATGACAAAATTTTTTGAGTTTGGTCTCTTATGTTCCTAGCAAGAGTGATATCTCTCCAAGTTTAGCAGATTTTTGATTAATTAGAGGCTGAATTGGCTCGAATACACATTTTCTCCCATACAAAATTTGAATACTGTAGGATGGACATCAAGAAAAGAACATTTTGCAACAACGAATTTCGTAATCATTGTTATTTGGATTGAATGATGTTTACAATTATTTGCTGAGCACACTCTAGCATATAGATATAGTAGATTCGGTGTTCATCGCAAATTTTATTAAATAATTAAACTATGTTTAACGATGAAGCAATTTTATTTATTTTCAGTGCTACATATGTTTCAGAAAATTTTTTCTTTGGGAGTCTCCCAAAGTTGATACCACATAATGAGTCACTCAGTTTTCAAATAAATTTTATTTTAATTTTTGTAGATTCAATAAATTCTTGATTTAATTCATAAAATAAAGAAAAACCACATTTTAACGATAAAACCAAATTTTATTTATCATATAATAAGGAATTATTCTAAATATAACATGATCTTCAAGCCATAAAACTTTGTCCCATTTTAAGAAAAATTTTTCAAATTGTTCAAGAAAAACTCCTAAACGAATACGCTATTAAATTGTTAACGAACGTTGCGAATTTTAATCATATGAATGAGATCATCTGAGATCTGACGTCGTGTCTGAAGAAGGAAAGAATTTTCTGAAACATATGTAGCACTGCAAATAAATAAAATTGCTTCATCGTTAAACATAGTTTAATTATTTCACACTCTAGCATGTCTTTCATTAGCATTCTATGTATGGCCCCTTAACATCTGATTAACAAGTTGTCTTCAAATAGACCTTCCTAAATTGTCAATTCATCTTTTATACATCTGTATGAAGTGATAGAGGATGCTTTATTAAATGATTCGATTCAGTTGATTTAACGAAGAACGCGCACTAGGAAAAGCGGCTATTACACCGGAAGTACCTTAAAACGTTTAGAACATTTTTGTGTTTATTTAAAATTCTAGTTGTATTTCCCTCTTAAATATCTTTCGTATACAAATTTAGTATCAATTCTAGTATGGTTTATTGATATATACACACATAACTCACATCTGTAAGAGTAGCACAAAGTTTTTTCAGCACATTTATTTCTCATTTGGTATCATTGTAAAACCCAATGCATATCATTGAACCCAATGCTAAATAAGACTAAATAAAAGTACTTAATTTTTTTCATTTATGACTATATTAAAGCAAACCCCATTTTTGGGTGATACAAAACCTTATGATAGATTCCATAAAATACAACATCAATCTCTTTGTTTCCAGATCTCGTACCAGTTTTTCCATGAATGGTTCTCCTGTTTTTCGACCATAGTAAATATCTATGTTTGATGTATAAAATAATCCGACATCTGCAAAGCAAAATAATTTTATCCCTTATTTATTGGACTTCAATGGTATGTATTGTTTGAGCATTTTGCCCAAGATGGCAAATCTGGCAGTTTCGTTTCGCTTTGGTGTTTCTGTCATCAAACACTACACATTCAATTAGAAACCTAATACGATTTTCAAACGTCGTCATTCTAAAATTCGTTACTCATCCAAAATCATCATGTAATTTTTTTTTCATCAAAGTGATCTGATTATGTTACATACATTCAAAATATAACGATATCTCGATCTAACCTGATCATCAATCCAACTTCATAAATAATTCTAGTCTGCCTTAACTAGACGTGGTTGTTATGAATGATGTACTTTATTTAAAGCTGAGTTATTCCATATTCTGATGTTTCAACCCCATCTCATGCTTTATTCATGTATGTTTCTATCGAACCTCATGAGCAATTTAAGATTACTTCATGCTGATTTGATTGTTTTGATGAGTACTAATGAGAACTAATGAGTAAACTTAACTTCATCTTTAGTCTAATATTGTTGATATCAACCTCATAAGCAATAGAGAATAACTCAACTCTATCAGATATTTTGCATAATGTAACATCATTTAGAATTGTGTTATTCCAAAATATAGAAATGCCTCATTCCGACCTCATATGAAAACTAAGATATCTAAGATGAATGTCTCAACTTTACCTCATAAGCAATTTATACCTCACTCTGATTTGATTGTTTTTTAAAATGTAACGTTATCTTGAAATGAATTTTTTTAAAGGACAATAATATCTGAGAACAACATCCTCAACTCCGAAATGACCTAATGGAACCTTATTTTCAATCAATGAAGAGCATCTTATTTTGTAGAGAAACATTCTAACGTCATCTCCATCATCTCAACCTTAACCTTAATACAATAATATCTCAATGGAACACTATATGCAATTAACGAATACTTCAACCCAACTTAATTGTTTTGTATTAGGTGATCTCATCTAGAACTGAATTGATCCAAAGTGTAAGAAAGTTCCAATCTAACATCAACATCAATTACAGAATTTCGCAACTAAGTGTGATGCTCTACACGTTTTTCATTCCGACGAGAATTATGGCAACTGCATCTGGATGCTTGAAGTCAAACTTACCATTAGTTCCAGAATATAGCAAACCAACCTAATAAACAATTCAAGAATTCATTATTCACATCTACAACGACTATTTTGCATAAAGTCTCATTTTAACTTCATTTATTCAAAAAATTATTAACCATTTGTACGATACCTCAACCTCTATCCCAGAATTTTGTTTATATCGATCTTCTCTTCTTTCTGTCCATTTCGAAAACATACATTTTTTTGCTTATTTTGAGTTGATTTTGATGAAGAAACTGTCGACTTTTCTACACTGTTTATGGAATATTTTTGGCTTATTTCTGGATTTATTTTAGTAATTTAGGGCTTTCATAATTTTTATTTTCTGCTTTCTTCTAACATCTTTCTCTTCTTTGTATCAATTTTATTATTTGCTTATTTTTGGCTTATTTATGCCTAAATTTCTGTTTTTACTATCAGCCAAAATTTTACATTGCTGCCCTCGAGTATCTTTGGCTTGCTCCCTTCACTTTTCTGTCTTATATTTGGGTTTTTTCTGTTTATCGTTCTTCCTTCATTTTGGTATCATTTTTTGTTGTTTCTTCCTTCTTTTAGAACCACATTTTCGTTATAAAATAAAAAATAAACTTACGATTAATATTTTCTTGTTTTAATAAATCATAACATCTTTTCTGACTCTTACTGGTTTTGCACCGTTCCGGTTTCATAACAATGACATAGAAAAACCCGGAAAAGCCTTTATAAGGTTAAATAAGGTTTCAAGTGTTAGAAAATTTTAACGATCTTTTTTTATTGTTTACTTACGCTGTATAAAGCTATAATTCAAATAGTTATCATTGCATTTTCAATATTTCCGTTTCTTTATAACCCCACTACTTGTTGGCACCTGATTATACTTAATAATAGTTATTCATGCCTTTCTGTATTACATTTTAGTAATAATATTCACATAAATAGTGTCCTCAATGATGTACTGTTACAGCATCGTTTCAAAAATTATTCGAATTTGAAAATAATAAAGAAATAAATTTTAAATAATTAATTATTTATTTATATGTACGTCATAAGTTTCTCAACAGGTATTTTAATTACGAAATGTGTTTATTACCTGCATATTATAAAAGCACCATAATACTCTATTATTGGATTATCATATTAGCGCATAAAAAATGTTCCTGCTATTACATATAAGTCTTATAAACTTACTTAGAATCGTTTCCATTCTGTCATCTTGTGTTTTACTGTTGAACATTGAATTGAACCAAAAAAAAATCTATAATAAAATAGCTTTGTAAGGAAAATGACCTTAAAGCAAAAGCAAGACAAGATCGTAACTTTTCTGAACATAATTTTTTTGTTTTCAGATCCTTGTTTGTACATTCTACGTTTCGCTGCGAAACTAGAATTTGGCGCGAAAACTCAAGAGGTCGCAAATACGGCACTTCGATTAGTACAAAGAATGAAGAGGGATTCGATACATTCAGGTCGTAGACCATCAGGCCTTTGTGGAGCAGGTAATTTATTTACATTACGTATTTTAACACTTAATATAACCTTTTTATTTTTTAGCTCTTCTAATAGCAGCTCGATTACATGAGTTTAACCGATCTCCAGGTGATATTATCCGCATAGTTAAAGTCCATGAATCAACGCTACGTAAAAGGTAAATTTATTCAACTAACTATTTAGATTTCCTACGTTTGAATTTACTCATCTTGAATTTTATTTAACTAGACTTGTAACGTCAATATTTAAATTTTTGTGCTTAAACTTAAATTTTCATCGAATCAGTTTATCTTATTGGTTGTGAAACAATGTTTCTCATTTACATAAATGAGCAAATATATTTGCACTTTGAAAATGTATAGATTAAATTTTTTCCATCAATAATTGGGCGTGTGTGGCAAAAACATTGACCGGACAGATTCAAGGTTTCGGTATTTATGACATTCACTCTAAAATTGCACGATATCGTTAAATTAATTCAGTTGAAATCAGGAACGCATATTGGTTAAGCAATATGGGTTCATAAGACATAGTTTTGATTTTTGGAATAATTTAGGACACTATTCACATTACACAATTCACTGACCTATTGAAACGTTTTATTTGTTTTACGTGAATGACTTTACTATTGCACTCTAAATAGTACTATTAGATGATCAAACGTCCAATATTGTTTGATTACAAATAGACAGAGGCTATAAAACTCAATGCCATAATAGCATTGCAATATTTACTCTGTGCGCCGTAATGAATCGATTTATAGTTTATAGGCTTACGGTCGTTTGAACGTCTTTTTTAATTAGAAATTCAAGTCACATTCTGTTACACCACTTACTACGCCATGAATAAAAGAAGTGCTTACATTTTTTTTACTATATTGTGTTGAACAACCTTTGCAAATTGCTGGCATTAGCACAAATATCATGAAGTCGTTGATCAATTATCAATTGGTTTTAAAGTGATTAACATTTTTTAATCAGTTTTTATGAAGAATGTGGTTTCTATCTGAAGATGAGCTGCATAATTTGCAGTAACATTTTAAATGGTTGTTTATGTCTCCTACTTTTCTATTTCTAGCGGTTGCGTGTTGGAAAATAGTTGCTAATGCATAAGAATTAAACATTTTTGCATTAATTATTTTCTCTTGAAGTTTTTCTTAGTTTTATTTGCAGTTTCATTTATACGGAAACATTAAATTTAACTTCGCTTAATATATCATTATTTTATTGGACTACTTCTTCTTTAAGATTGAATCTGTCAATCTGCTGTAGCAAATTTGTCTCAATACAATATTAAGAACTATATCGCCTCGGAAAAGTTTAAAATGTTGCTTTGGTACACTTCTTTAGCGAACACAGATCGATCACTCTTAAACAGCTTCTCAGTGACAAAAGAACGGTGTAAAGTAACAGTTTTTCCTCGTCGAATTGGATTAATTTACTGTGATAAAATAAATGGGAAATACTTTAAATTAAAGGCGAAAATTAACAAAAAGATTTAGTGTTTATCAAAGACGTAATCGTTCAAAAAGAGCAATAACAATATATAAAGTCTTTTATGTCGATTGGTAAACGGTAAGTACGTATTCTTATGTTAATTTTATACCGATGCAGTAAAATTGTCCTTATCTGAAATTGCTTTCTATGAGAATTAGTACCGTTCGAAGATGTCGATTCTACATTGTAATTTTCCAAATAATTTTATAACGTCTTTAGCTGAATCACAATTTGATTCGGACCACTCTTATCTTGGCAATGCTTCATCGTCATTTCACAGTCATTACGTCCAAATTTTGTAGATCTTAATCAACTCTGATTGTTTTATCATAAACCGAAAATTCTAATAAACGTCGTTTGCGACAAAAATTTATTATAAATAAAGCTATTGTAACCGAGATTGAGTCATACGCTCGCTTTAAAAATGGGATTCCCGCACAGTTACATAATAATTTTGAAATTTTGCTTGTACCTGATAATACTTTGGACAGTGTACCTAGTTCAATATAAAAGTAACTAAGCCTTCGACTGTGTTCATATATGACGTTATCAAACCTCTGCACTACATTCTAAAAAACGTAAATTACAACTGCGTGCCAAAAACATTACGTATATCAACATAGATGATTAACCTTTTGGAGCGAACGATTTAAGATGTTCTAAATATATTTTGGGCACCACAACCCCCTACACATCGATTTAAAGTCCCAATAATACTTAAGACGTAGTAACGAGTACATTTTTTGTGAGAAATTGCAAAACTCTGATGTATTAGGTTAATTATCACCAGCAGTTTAAGTTCTAAGCGATATTGAGAACTGATGGTATATGTTTCAAGATGCGACAATGATACAGTTGTGTATACACAGTGATCATTCTTACCAAATTAGTAAAACGGTGCTTCCACCTTCTAGAATTAAAACAAGGGCAAGTTTACGTCAACAAGATTCGAGTTCCAGCAATCGCTTTGGCATGGATAAAAGGCGAGTCAACACGATGTAACCATAGCAGATTTGAGATTGTTGATGACAATAATTCAGCATTTTAATAGTAGTTAGTAGAAATATTATGGCCAGCAGAAATAGAAAAATTTAGAACACAATAGAAAAAAGAAAACAAAGCAATCAAAAATTGTCATCAATCAGAGACGGAAATAAAATTATCACTTACTACCAGATTTCCTCAGTCCACAGGAGATATACTAATGTTCAATGGGAAGAATAAAAGAACTAAAGAATTAAAGCATTCATAAAGTATGAGCAAGTCGACAAAATAAGTATTGTAGAAAAAAATGTGTTCCAACGTCATCATGTTTTAACTTCGTAGGAATCTGGGAGGTTATCGTTAAATTCTAAAAATCTTGCGATAAGAAGATGGCAATTAATTCAAAAGTTGAATAATAAGATTTAGAATTCATTCAAATATCAACTATTATTAGATAATGCCGTAAAAAGAAGTGTATATTTAACAGAAATAAATCTTTGGTATCTTAGCATTTCAAGATATCGACGTTTTACTTTTGACGATCGTACAAGGCTGTAGCCACGGATGTCTTCGGCCAAAGCGTTACATTTATAATTTTCTACGCTCATTGTGTCATTTAACATAACCAATCGATTACTTTATAAAATATAAATACTCCCATCGTGGTTATCTTTAACGGTCTCGATCTAATATATAACAATTACTCAAAACCTTATAATATTGACGTTTATCCATGACAGCCTAGAGAGATTATAGCTAAGGTTTGCTTTCTATCGTAAAACGCCTATGGATCTTGGTCAATCAGACAATGTCGCGTTGATGTCTATTTCTACAATCGGCTAAAATCGTGAATCGGTAACAGAAGAGGGAGGGTTGCCGGATCTTGGACAGGGATCTTGGAAGACGGGTTGCTCTCTTTCACTTCTTTTTAAAAGTAAATAAATCTGAGTGAATGTCTTCTCTGTGTCTAGGAAAATATAGAGTTGAAACTCCTTATCACTATATTTGGTTTGGTCACAAAACCAGCAGTTATTGTTTTGTACTTTTCCCATACGATTTAGATATTCTTCGTATATACTATTACCTATTATCGCATGTGTTGAGAAATGAAGATATAAAATATTTCAACCATCCAGTATAGATTTTCTACATCATGTTCCATTTTTTTATAATATTCTGGCGAGCTTCAGTTTTATAAGCTTTTTTTTAAGCGTATACCCCTTTTTAAAGACAGATGTTTTTTTTTTTCTACATCTTGTTCCATTTTTTTATAACATTTTGGCGAGCTTCAGTTTTATAACCTTTCCCCTTTTTGACAGATGTTATGCTACCACCTTTACAGTATCAATTGTACTTCTCTCTATACTTCTGTTCGATATGCTGATGTTACTGCGATGACCAATATCTTGTTTAGGGCCTGCAGCAGTTTTGCATAATGCTGTTAGTTAAGTTCTTGAACTTTTCCCCCCATTTCAGGAGAGGAAGCCTTACAATTTCCGTTTCATTTTCGTTTCTTATGCAACTACCGTGATTTTAATATCTTGGAGCCTAACAGAGGAGATTTCCACAGCATTGGACTTAATATGGATCCTCGCCTCGAGCCTCGGCTAAGTTTATACTTAACATTATATAATTTTACTTGGTTAAGGCTTAGCTTCAATACATGCTGATCAGTCTTGTATTGGTATGATAATAATTGCTGCACCTGGGATTAATCAAGCTAAATTATTGAGTTTCTGTTGTAAGACTCGCCGAGGTTGTTACGGCCGGTGCGCTGCAATTTCAGTTAATTTTGAACTCATAGTATATGATTTCGCCTGATTAAAACTTCGTTGCAATATGTGATGATAAATTTTGACTTGCTATGGTAAAAAATAGTAGGCTCAAGGAAAATTATATAATTTCTGTTGTAAAACTCACCAAAGTCCCTTGCAGCCAAAGCGCAGCAATAAGAGTTAATACGTTAAATTGACGTGATATTAATCTTAGCGCATCGACCGTAAACGGCCTTGCCTAAATATAAGGCTAACAATATATGATTTCGGCTCATTAAGGTTTCGTTGCAATAATAAGTTTTTGGTTTGATATAATAGCGGCGCATCAGCCGCAAGAAACCTCGGCTTAATCAAGCAAAATCGTACAGTTCCTTCTGTAAGCCAAGCCGAGATTGGTATTAATCGTCGTCAACGCTTGTGGCATGCTTCTCCTGGATACCAATGCTTTTTGCAATTAATTGTATTAGTTTGTATATTTATTTTGTTGTACATAAGTTTACATTATTATTATATTTTTTGTAGCTTAAGAGTACGATTTTTTATACTTATTTCAAACATCTTATATATAAACTAAACAAAAACGCGATTGTGGTTTATCCTACAGCACTACAAGACACATCTGTGTCTCTGTATGCTTTCGGCACTCAAGTTTATTACAGTTTATAAGCAACCACACACTCAACAATGACGATGCTGCTGCTGCATTCTTAAGAATTACGAACTTCGAAATACCAACGACGATGTCGTTCAGCGAAGTGCAGTTGTCGTCTGCAGCTGTTGCCTGTCGTTTGAAACGATAATCGGAAGTCTACTATAACGCTTTAAACCACATCGATTTATTCCAACACCATTCGGAATAAAGAATGTTTGAAATTCGCGTCTTGTGGCAGCCGTTATTCAAAAAATTAAAGTTTTAATGCTGCTATCTTAACAGTATAATGATTAACATCTGTTTTTTGTCATAAAACTCTTTGATTATTATCTTTAATAAATGCATGAACACAATCCGCTCGCCATTCATTACTTCGTACATTTCAATTAACATGAATAGCATAATTACACAGCATAAAGTGATTAATGATCGACGTAATCTGACTTATTACTAACCCACTTTTATAAATTAATTGCTAATGTTACCATTTAATCGTTTTCATTTCGTCTTTTAAAAAAATTCATTTCAGCACGTTATGTTGCGTGTTTTTCATTCTATCCGAGACAATTTCATAAATCTAACTAATTGATCTCAAATAAAATTGAAACCCATCGGGAACAATTTTTTATTTGCCTGTGTTACGTACATATAACAGCGAGAACGTAGGGGCGATGAGGTAGTTTTTTGCCCCCAATTTATTAGCACTTCTCCCCTAATTTATCGTCAGCAAAAAAAATCTCATTTGTAATATAAACAGTTTTGAAGTTTGGACAAGGGCCCATATTATTATGTTTGATTTTAGAATATTTTTAGGGTCCCTAGAATCATGTTTCATCTGAGTTGGAATATATAAAAAATCATTCATTAAATATATCAATTTCACTACTAATAAAGAGTAGTTAAAGAGAACATATACCTTTTCAGTCTTACAAAACAAAAACGTTAATTTATCGAACTGCAAAAACAATTTGTCCGATTTAAAATCAATTATGGTATCTATCTATTAAATCGGCTTGGAGTTGGTTAATTTCGAATAATTACGTAACACCGTCTGTCAACAACACGGGCCACACATTCATCGTCTGATATATTAATTAAACCGCAATCGGGAAATTGTGCGCTTTTGAAATATATTTAAATAAGTTATTGGATGCTTGTAGGCTCGTCGAATTTGGTGATACTCCTAGCAGTAGTTTAACATTAGATGAATTTATGACGGTGGATCTCGAAGAAGAACAAGATCCGCCGTCTTTTAAGGCCGCAAGAAAAAAAGACAAGGAACGATTACAAAGGGTAAATAAGAAAACCAAGTGTTTAATTTAAATGCATTTAAATGAGAGTTTTTTTATTATAGCTTATAGAAGATGAAGGTGATCATATTACTGAACTTCAAAAGGATATTGAACGGCAATTGGAATCAGATAGTAATCGGAAACGAAAACGTAAGTACTTGAAAAAAATTATTGCTATCTTTAAATCTTTTAAAAATGTATGCATGCTATGTTACAATTTAAATCATTTAAGTAATTTGTGGTTATTTTGTGTACTATTGCACCAGACATTGTCGAAATTAGGTTTTCGGTGTTAACACGATTTCAATCCATATTAAACGAACTTTCAGTATGGAAACGCAATCAGGTCAAGACTACCGCGAATTGCGTAGGGTTTAAACACCGATTAATTTAGTAATAAAATTATTCATTTAAAAGTTTTGATTTCATAGATTAAAAATTTTTTTTTGAAGTAGTTCAGTATGAACATTTAAAACAAGTACTATTGATTACACCAGATATTACGACAGATAGTAAAAGAAGTTCTCATCGGATTGAATTGCTTTGCTACAAAGTTTGCAAACAATGAACCGAAGTATTTCCCATAAAATCGGATTTTGGGTCAAAAACCTTTCTCTGTAACCCGATTGTACGTGGTTGTGTTAGTTGTAAGATCGATAAGTTGTGATCAAACAGTCACCACTATCAATTGGTCCAGTTTCTTTCTAGGTTAATAAGATTGCGGACTTTTATAATAAGAAAAATTTATGATGTAGATTTTATAATTACGTTTTCTTTGTTATATAAATTTTAAAATAATAATTGTTTAAAGAATTTGTATGAGCTTAGTTGTTAAAATAAAATAAAGTGTGATTGGAGTGGATTCTGTTACAATAAAAGTAGTGTTTGGGTTAACAATGTTGTATGCCTATAAAAAGTTATTAATTAAAATTAATTAAAAGGTATTCACTATGTATGTTAACGTTAGTCGATATCACTATTATAGATGACAGAAATCGCTCGACTAATTAACACCAATCACAGATATGTTACAAAGTGTTGTTGTAAAGTTCAAACAAATCTTTGTTCAAATAAAATTTTTTATAATATACGAAATATTGCAAGTTTCCGAGGTAGATTCAGGCAGTGTATAAGGAATAAGCCTGCGTAATATAAGTGTGGAATAAAGATTTTTGCTATGTCTTGTGCAACATTATTCTATATGGGGATTTATGCTATCCGACGGAACTTTTAACGTAAACAAGTTAGCCAAACGTGTGATTGAAAGATTTGTTCAACCAATTGAAGGGACTGACTGCAATGTAACAGTAGACAATTGGTTTTCCTGGAATCCTTTGTGTCCCAATTTGCAAAATAACTGCAATGCCTTAAGGCAAAGTAAGAGGGAAATTCCCCAATCGTTTATTCAAACTTTTCTTTCGTTTGAAATGCTAAGTTTTTGCTACGAAAAAAAAGAATGAATGGATTAATATTGGTGGGGAACTTTATTTGTTAACAGGATTAAAATATGCTACTAAATTGTATCTAATTTATGTTATTGAAACAGATTATACTTTACACGAAGCACGTTTTTGCCATTTCCTGGAAATTTACATTTCCCTGACATGTTTGTGTTTGCTTGCGTGCTCAATTTATTATATCTGCTAGTACATTGTTTATTAATATTCTTAGAAGCGATTATTATTAAAACCAATGATATTCTTTTATATTGGTATTGTCCGGTGCAGTTGGAACATTCTGTTGTTACAAAGACGTACTGGTACAAGCGCGTGATCGCCGAGTGTTATACACCATTAGAAAAAGCAGAATATTTTCGATAAGATAGATATGGCTCTAGAGTTTTCCCCTTATGAAATAAGAAAGTTGTTTAGAGAAAGAGCAATGCACCTGCGTGTAGGGCTGCATATTAAGCTTGAAGTTTGGTAATTTTGAGCTATTTTAAGTACAGAGCGGTGTTCTTCATTTTTTATTGATCTTAGTATCAACTTATCGACAAACGAAAACGGTTTTAGATAGATAAATAGTTTTTCGCTATCCTCTAATAATAAGGAAGATATCAGCTCAAAAAGTAGATAGGAAATCACGGGGAAAAGTTTGTTGCTGGGAGGTTTGTTGCCATCGTCGCACGGGTGCAACTTTGTCCACTTTGCGATTTTTTTCTCAAAAACTATCTGACGAAAAAATTTCAATTTTGAACAGGTGGTAACCTGATGTGTTCTTAATGAGGGGTATATTTTATTTTTTCGATATTTCATATACAGTGTGTCCCCGGATTGTGTCCCCGTAAGGTATAATTGACGATAAATATTTGGATTCAAATTCCATCTTTTGCAATTAAAGTCTGGATGTAATGTACAACAAAAATTGATTACGATAAAATGTTTGTTATGTTAAATTATAGCGATATGCCGAATTTTATTAATTTAGCATAGAAAAGAAAAAATGAGTTTTTTCTTAAAATTTGTTTCTAATATTCCGTTTTACAATAAAACCAAATGATCTGAGTGAACTAACAATTATTATTTGATAGTTTAGCTTTAATCTATTGTTAAATATTACTTGATCATGTTTGCATTACAACATTAAATATTTATAGTGCAATGGATTGGGGAACAGTAGTTACAGTTTTAAGGCAATTTGAGGAAAAATTTGGATTTTTAGTAGATAAAAAAAACAATTAAGAGACTTGTTAAAAATTTTCGGAAACGGGCAATGTGGAAAATAAAAGGCAGGAAAAAAAACTTTCAGATGAACATGATGCGAGGTCGATTGTTGCAGTAACGAACGCAATGGATTACGGTAAGGTGTCGTTAAGAAAAAGGGCAGTTCAAGTCGGTATAACTAAATCCCATTTACAAAGAATTTATCGAGAAAATAAAACATTGCCGTATAAACCATAATTTAACCACACTATCGAATTAGGCGATGAAGCAAAACGTTTAGATTATTGTTTGTGGCTTGGGTATAAAATTTTGAAAGACAGAACTTTTTTAAAAAACATAATATTTTCGGACGAAGCATCGTTCACCACTAATGGAGTGGTAGACTAATCCACATTATCGCATAGCTTGTAAACGCCAGTATTCCCAGAAAGTGAATGTGTGGTGTGCTGTTTCATGGAACGGTGTTATAAACTGCAATTTAAATCAACACCGATATTTGGAAATACTAGAAAATTGTTTATTTAATTATGGATCGTGAATTTAGAAAAACGCTATAAATTATATTTTCAACAAGATGGTTGCGGCCCACATTCGACCATTTTAATTAGAAATTATTTAAATACGTTATTTGGAAAAAAATGGATTGGTAGATATGATCCGCAACCATGGCCGCCAAGAAGTCCGGATTTATCTATTATGGATTTTTATTTTTGGGATTATGTAAAACAAAAAGTGTACAGTGAAAATTTTAATAACAATTTAGATCGTTTAAAACAAAAAATTGAAACTGTTATTAGAGAAATTCCGTTGGATATTAGAAAAAGTTATAAACAATGTCGGAAAAGGGCTGAATTATGTGTTAGTGCTGGTGGTGGTATCATTGAATAAGCTTTTATGTTAATTTAGTTTAGACCGAAAATGTTTTGTTAATCTTATGATTTAAAAATCTGCATTTTGCTTTTATATCCTAAATTAATAAAATTTGGCATATCGCTATAATTTAACATAACAAACATTTTATCTTAATCAACTTTTGTTGTACATTGCTCAGAAAGACCACTTTACCTGCAACGGTTAACAAACTTCTTGCGTTAACTTTAGTACTTTGAGGACATTTGACGTAAAACTTGGTTATATTTCGTTTTATGACATCCAGACTTTAATTGCAAAAGATGGAGTTTGAATTCAAAAATTTATCGTCAATTATACCTTACGGGGACACAATCCGGGGACACACTGTATGTAGTTGCATATAGCTCGCGCATTGTGTGGAGCTAGCCTATTAATAGTAGGAGTGTTGCTTAAGTGGTAATTCCGCCTGAGCCACTTCGACGAGGTTCCTATCACATTTAAAGCAAAGTAATAACTGTCCTAGTAGAACTAGTTTGTCTTTGCCTAAATGGGGTAATTTACTATTGTTGCCACCTTCATGATTTCTATCATGCATTGTTGTCATTGTTGATGTGATAGGAAGACCTTATGTTTTATTGTATAACGACTCTGTTGATTAAAGATGTCTATGACGGAATGAATAGGTTGATCGATATTGGAAGCATCCGTTTGGTACTGAAGTCTCTGTATGGCATTGAAAAAACCTAAATCTTTGAGTGCCAAGACTGTTAGGAGGATATTACGTTTACGTTAACGCGCTGACAGCTTCATCGAAGTTCTTATCGTTCTTTTCAAAGTGCGATTTAGCGTTGTCTTGCTGAATAAAAATTGATGTACGACTATTAGACCGATGTCATTTAGCTTCAATTGCAGGCAGAAATTTATCCACTATCATCTTTCTGTATTCACTCTTGGCTACAGATTCAATGAAATTCGTCTCTAGAGTCCCAGCTGAACAATTTCTACTTCTACGTTTGGCTGATTCTTGTTTTATAAATGGCCAAATGCCTAATTTCTGATGAAACCACTGATTATGGCAATTGTCCCACCATGGAAGAGCATGTTTGATAAGATTCTATCTCATCGTGAATGAGGTAGTACTTTTTCGATGTTTTCTTTAATTAAAACTATTTCTCATCAACATAAATGAAGTTTGTTATATCCTTAAAAAGCAGTGATGCTATCAGAATCAAGCATTGCAATCGTGTGCAAATAATGTTACACACATTGGTTACACGCGTTTCTTGCGTTAGATTAGATTAGGCTTTTTTTGTGGTGCAATATCTGCAAGTTCTTCATGTTATATTTTGTGGCCTCCAGGTATTTTTACAAATAGTAAGTCGACACAAGATTTTTAAGTTTAATTTCAAGTTTAACAAACCATTAAATGATCAAATCATAGTGAATTCGTGAGCGCTACCAATAAACTTAGTTTCTATTACCTTAACAGAACATTATAAAAAATGTTCGTTGAATGTAGCTTTGTTGTTATCGCTTTTAAACAACATTTATTTCCACAACGAGTAGATTTACTGTCATGGTTCGACCACGAAAGTTGAAACCGGTTTATTGATTGACGTCAAATTGATGATGTGAATGTGAAAAAAGGGATATAGAATAAGTAAAGATATCGTACTATTGAAGCGCTGAGGTGCTTGATTTCCTTAAGATGTCAGTCTTAATTGGAGTTGAGGATGTTTTTCGATCGGGAGATGTGTACTGCTACTTGTTGTTTGAGTTTTCCTTTCCTCGTTTTCCCCCTGTCATTAATCACTTGTAATCGTATCACATTTTCTGATACAAACTTTTATTCCTGAAATGATTTTCTAAAAGAATTAATAATTACAATAAACATGCAATAAAATTTACATCTACAAAACAAAATATTTCTATTTATTTTAAATATTTCTCGTTTATTTTACATTCATTTCAACACTCTTGTCCTTTACATCTTTCCTTATTAAATTTCATACGTTTCCTGACGCGCCAACCTTTTGAGATATTCATAAACATCTAGATACGGTAGCGAAGGTTGGCCTGCAGATGGAATATTCCCAAGCTTAGAGCTTTTGAGAGTAACAGATAACAATTTTTATGTAACGTACAAAGATAAATTCATAACTTTTTTTAATATTAAATCTTTATTACGCTCTTACATTACACAAAAGAGGCAAATATTTTTTTAGAATGAACCAGTAAATCGCATCTATTCAGTGATTCTATCCGTTTATTATCTTTTCTCTTTTTGCAAGATTTAACGCATACCTGCTCGCTATATCCAGGAGTTTAGTTTTGTCCAATAATATCATTACGGTGCAAAAGAGTTTTTTGTGCTTTTAAAACTCATTTAGTTGTAAAATTGGATGTAATTATTTAGTTACTTACACAAAAAGAATAAACATTTCAAATTGATTCAGTAAAGATAAATATTTTTATAATAATCTTTCTTTCAGGGCCTTCATTAATGGCATCAACCGAGGATTCCGAAATCACCAAGTACATAGAAGAGACTACCTTGGGTGCCGTAAACGAAGTAATTGAAAACATTGGAGACACAGGAACGACGTCCGAACCAACGGAATTAGGACCGGACATAGCAAGTATGGGATTAGCATGTTCTTTGGACGATGTCGTCGCTAATCCTACTGTTAATCAAGCGATAGAAATCGATATTACTTTCGACGATATCGACGATAAAGAATTGGATTCGTACATTATGACCGAAGACGAATACAAATCAAAAAATGGAATTTGGCATCGATTGAACGCAGACTATTTGGACCAGCTTAAAAGTAAGTTATTTTAAATATCTTTTAATAGAGATTTTATACTTAATCCGTTTTTGATTTATATAGGAAAAGAAGAAAAATTGGCTAAAGAACGAGAAGAAGGAAAACCTGAAAAAAGAAAGCGTAAGCGTAAGACAAATATAGGTCCGGCGAATTCTGCTGGTGAAGCTATAGAAAAAATGCTCCAAGAAAAAAAGATTTCCTCTAAAATTAACTACGAGGTCCTCAGGAGTTTGACGACGACAACAGCGACAACCAAAACAAACGGTTCGGACGACAACAAGGACACCGTAATAAAGGAATCCCCAAGGTGAGTAGAACTTATTGTTTTCCTCAACAAACTAAATTTCGTTTATAAAATATAAAATGAATATACATTTTACGAAAACTGAATACATAGTGGATTTGAATAGAAATTTCCGGAAATTATTTTTTATCGTTGTCTTGATATGACTCATTTTTAGTTCTGATCACGTTTGACCCGCTGCATTAAAATCCCATAAAACACAATAAAATAACGATTACTTCCTGAACGGTATCACGGCTGGGCGTTATTTAGTGTTTCAACTCACGAATTGCACGAATTACTTTTATCTTCGACTTTAAAATTCTTATTAATAGCATTAGTTAACGCTATAAACTACATTTACAGTAGCCGCACTACTAATTTTTTTAATGAGTTGAATAAATGGAAATTTAATATAATTATGTAGAAGGATTTTCCTTGGGAAATTTTAAATTCCCCGGTGACGTTTTAAAGCGTTGATCTCATAATCGTTATGTGATTTTTGATATTTAAATTATAAATATTAAAGCCCATTTTTAAAATTTATTATTAATCATCTTTTTACACTTTCCGTTCAAAATAATTCTCTTATAAAAATAATAAACTCAGTTCTAATGCTTCAAATTTAAAATTTTTTCGAATTTGAGATATGTTTACCAGGTTGTTCTAATTTTAATGCTTTTTATGTTTGGACAAAATGATTAGAAATACAAATAACGATACCTGCTTCGTCATCATCAAAATCAAGATAATAAGTGACATACATAGCCTATTTAACTAACATACATAAAACGACTCAAACTGCGGTATTTCGTGAATAATACTAGTCAAACAACAGTAGATCAGTATTTTAAAAGAGAAATCACTTAAACGATTAATAGTATATTAAAAAACAAGTTTCGTAAGACATGCTTGAAAAGCACGAATTCAAGTTGAAAAACGAGTGGCGAAACCACGAGTTTTTTAATGAATGAGTGCTTTAAGTCTTATGAAACGTGTTTTTTATGCTATTTTTTGTAATTCGCGTTTTTATCCTTTTTTTTTCTCAAAAATAAAATAAATTTTGACAATGTAGGGAAATAGGTATGTAGCAGTTGGTAACACCGTAACACTTGGAAATAGAAAGTTGAATTGACAATTAGAAACTGTCAAAACACAAAATGTATTCACCTGACAAAAATGTTTCATGTACTCCTCCCAAAATAAGAGAAATTGCTCAGAGTTCAATGTCCTCATCATTGTGGACCTTGTATTCGATGCTAAGAACGTGTTTAAACATCCATAGACAAACATTGTCACATTGACAACTAGAAAAATTAATGACCCAATGTCACCAACTTCAACTGGTTCCATAAAATGTTACTAAAATCTCATTACAGTATCGGATGCTGTAAGGAGTCCCATTACAGCACCCGTTTGAGTACTGTTATAGCTTTCATTACCGTCGCGAATTACAAAAAGAAAATAACAATATCTTGCAAATAATAGTTTTATCTATACTAAGCGTTGATGCATTCGTTGCTGACATTAGAAATAAAAAAAACTCAAAAAAAAATATTACTTAAAGAAAAAACGTTTAACGATCCATAAAAATAGACGTTGGTTTTAGATTGGAAATGATGGAAAATGAAACAAAGTAAATGGTTTTGACCAAGGTTTGTTGAGTAAATGTACTGTATAAGGTTATCCAACTCCCTATGAACGCTGTTGTTATGAACGTATCCCCTCCGCAAAGGCATTGTTGTGACGTCATTGGAAGAATTGTCATTTCTATGTTTTCATTTATATATTTAAACCAACTAACAAACAGAAACTCTTTATTTCTTGAGTTTAATAACACACTTGTTTAATTTTTAAATAATTATTAACATAAATATTATCATTATATTTATATTAAATTTATACTGTTATATTTTCCTCCAATGACGTCATGTTTCCAACCTCACCCCGTCAACGTTAATTTGTTCGAGTTGGATAACCTTATAACCAATACTCAACGGACTTTGGGTTTTGACGTTGTGTTACAGTTTTACCACAATATTTTCAAAATAACGTGCAAAGGCGGTGACTATCGGTTGCTTCCAACAATTTGACCCAACACACCCACATCCACACCCAATCTATCGACCGTACATTCTCCAACAAGCTGTTATAAAACTGAAATTTCGAGTTTAATTTTTTCAAAAGTTTGCTATCCACTTTCAAATAAGGTTTTTGATGCTTGATTTGGCTTTTGCAGTTACAAACAAGTCCATGTAATTGTTTGAAAGAGATATTAGGCAACAATGACAACAATTTTGGTAGTTTGGAAGAATTAGAAAAATCACGAATATCACTAAAGAGGAGGGAGTTTACGAGCAAGATTACTATACTCATGTAATTAGTAATAAAGATGGACGAATCGTTCTAAAAGTATAACTCAAAGAACCCTTAGACATGTTGGATGATACAACATTGACATTGACAACAATAACATTGAATGGGTTCATTAATTTAAAACGTAAATTAAACAAAATGGTGCCTTCAAAGCTGAATGCTAAATTATTGTGTTCAGAAAACGGATATAGCATGATCGGGTTGGGTTCTGTGATCCATGAAAATTTGTTTTCAATTTTGATTAGATTTCATCAAGATAAGATTGTAGTCACAGCTGATACTTAAGAAATGTACAGGGAAATACTTTTACATTATAGTCAAAAGTCATTTCACAAGTAAAGTTATTTCTGTTTACTAAGTAAATATCGAGATTGGAAACATTCCGGAAGCATTGCTAAGGATCAAAAGAGATTTTTACAAACAAGCTGCAAACAAATGCTATTTTAAGGACTTAAAATGTTTTAAACCATGAAATTAGTCGAAATTTTTATTTATTAAAGTATTACATTAGTAAAGAATTTAATTTACTTTCACTTTAATATAGATATAAATCTTGCAAGAGTTTTGGTTGAGTTGGTGAAAATTTCATTTGCCCATATTGAAGATGTTTAGTTTTTAATGGAATTTTTCATGCACAAACCTGACTTTCTCCAAAAACTCAAATACTATCAGTGTTCTAGTAATAACTGATTATTCCTGCTTATATTTTGTTATAGCATATATCTGATGCAACAACGTGTTCAGAGATCGTACGCCAAGTACACAAAAAGTTGATTTGAAATCACGTGCCATATTCCACTTTATTAGAAATAAGTGCTTTGATCGTTTCTTATCGTAAATAATTGTAAGGATATCATACTCGGCGAGTGATATCCTCTGATCGCAAACAAAGTTATAGCGCGATGAAAAGTCCCAAAAGTCATTTTCAATTTGTTTTGTTCACTACTCGGATACACCCAACTTCCGCCACCTTTCCACGACGAAGATTTTGTAATCATTTACGCCACATTAGAAAAGCACCTTCTACTCAACTCACCCAAAAGTGGGTCAAGAAGTTCGAGGAGACCGGTTCGACACTTGATAAATCTTGGACAAGGTGTCGATCTTACGCTTCGCAAAAGGGCAAGGGCGTAAATGTTTCTAAAAGTTCCCTACATAGCATATTATTGAAAAATTGCGTCTACACCCCTACAAGATACAACTTGTGCAAGAACTAAAACCACTAAAGAATAAAATGTTTCAACGATTTCGGTCGTTGATTAACATCTTATTGTTAGATGAGGCGTTTTTTCACGTTAATAACCACATAAACCAGCAGAATTGCCCATGCTGGAGTTCAATAAATCCAAAGCGAAAGCATAAGAGGACACATCGCTAAAGATTACCGTTTCGGCTGCAATGTGGGTTGCAAGGAATTATATTGCAGGAATTATTACAGTAACCGTAAATTCCGAACGATATACGGATATGATTCGCAACTTTTTGGAAGAACACTTCAGAACACTTGGTTTCAATAAAGTGGAGCAATAGCTCACACCTCGAACCTGTCCTTAACAATTGGTTTTCCTGGAAAATAGATATCCACACGCGGCGATATAAACTGGCCGGCGCACGTAGCTCCGATTTGACACCAATGGATGTCTTCTCATGGGGTCACCTTAAATCAAGGGTAGATATACAGTAACACTCCTGTCTCTGGATGAATTAAAAGAAAGTATTCGATGAGAAATGACGATTCTCACGGACAATACGTACGAAGTAGTTGACGAAAATGTTGTTTAAAAGAGTGCCGGTGATATAATGGAGCACATTTAGACGACATAATTTTTAAAACAGAAATTCCCAAATCCGGTATTGTATTGAAAAATAAATATTTATTTTTTTATAACTAATCTCGTTAACATTACCACCTTGTATAAACTTTTACTAGAAAAAAGAAAAAATAATAATAAAAACGGAAGATGGTGTTTTATCAATCATCAGCAACGCAGATATACACAAAGTGTACGAAGTACACCAAGAACACCAGTAAATACTCCGAGATAGAACATAAACTGTCTAATAACAAAGAAAATAAAGTGACAGTTGAATACAATACGGATAAAGAACAGTGAGCGCGTGAGACGAGATGGATTCGTGCAAAAAACTGGATGAAAAGAAATATAAGTATTCATACCCCACCTATCATAGTCAACAAAATCAATCATTTTAATGAACTATATGCTGATGTGAGCAAACTTTCTGGCACACAGATTATAGTCATTTATTAAAAAACATTAAAATAAGTCTGCAGGATTAGACAAGCTATAAAAAAAAAATTCCTGCCATTAATATGAGAATAAGCAGAATACAACAATTAAAATTATGGTTATTATATCGTACCAATCCATGGAACCAGAAAAAAATGGTTAAGGAAATAAAAAAAACGTCGTTACAGAATTATCAAAACCACTCCTAAATTTAAATATAAAATTAATTTAAATATAACAATCCTTTCAAAAAGATTCTTCATATCTTTTGCTGAGTGCTCAGATTTCCGCTCCATATGTCAATTCTGGTCGTATTATTGTTTTGTACAATTTACATTTTGTCTGCCTAGACAAATTTCGATACCTTAACTATAAGGACAGGCCGAAGTAGTGTGGTTGTGTCCTTTTGGCAGTCTACAAGTGTCCCCTGATATGTAAAATCCTCCACTAACTCTATTGATTCACCGTCAATGTTTGAACCCTGTGTCGGCGTGATGTGCACATATACTTAGATTTAGGAAAGTTTATGGCGAGTCCCATATTTAATGCAGCAGATTTACGGATTTAAATGTGTACCTCTCGATGCGTTCTCGATTCTGCGTACGCCATTACTTTTACATTTCTTATACAGGGTGATTCTCAACCTATACGCATAAACTTGGGGATTTATTCCTCATGACAAATAAGGAGTAATAGGTGAAGAAAATTGTAGCAAAAGTTTTTTAATTTCCTAGATATCCATGAAATTTACTTTCAAATCAAGAATACATATTCTATGTTGTTTCTAATATTTTCTATGCACAATTGGGCTCGCTGAATCCACGATGTATATATATTTTGACCTACTAACGCGGCCTAAACCAAGGTGTTGGCGGATTGTCTCGGCAGCAATGTTAAATGCCTGTGTTAACCACTGTATGACATCCTGAGTATCAACCAAGAGGGCGGCATCATCTGCATAGCATACAATTTTGATTTTGTAATCGTTCATAGTTTACATTACATACCTTGTAATGTTTACTCTGTTCTAATTCTTTTATCCTTACTTTGTCGAACGTTTTGGTTAGATCAACGAAACAGAGGAAGGCTGCCTGACTTTTTTTGCCGGAGTTTTATCTGATTCTTTTCGATGTTCCTAACATTGCGTTGAGAACGATGAAATAAGTATGGTGGTATCAGTTCTAAACAGATGAGATAGTTTGGTGTTGCTGTGTAGGATGATTTCTGGAAGCAAAGACTACTTTGTAGAGTTTGGAGATGATATGATAGCGCGGCCTAAACTAGGATGTTGGCAGATTATCTCGGCAGCAGTTTGTATCTGATTTCGTAATTCTTGCTCAATATTAACTTCGGTCCCAAAAATAAATATCAAGAGGATTGCGGTCGGGTGATCGAGATGGGCCAGGCCAATGGACTACCTCCACCTGTCCATCTTCCGGGAAGCATCTTATCTAGATGTCGCCACATACAGTGAAAGCTCTAATAAGCGGACAGTGACGGTTCCGTTACTTTTGTCCGCTTATCAGAGATGTCCGCTTATGAGAAAAGCCTACTCAAATTAAAGTACATACACATATATGTATTATTTTGATCAGTTTTCGAAAAGTTCTTTGGACAGTTTTCCTCCTGTGCATTTTTCCGACTTTAAAGCTAAAGTTTATTTGGTAATGCACGAAAAAAGAGCCCACTTTCATCTGCGTTGAAAATGTCCTCTGGTCGATAGCCTAGTAAGAAGGTCGGCAATTTTTTCATAAATTCATTAATGCCCTCTTCATTTACATCTGCTGCTTCTCCGGAAATACACTTAAATGCAACATTATTTCTCAAACGCCACTTTTGTAACCACCCATCAGACGCTTTAAAGGTACTCACTCTTAAATTTTTTAGTAATATCACGAACTGACAACTTTTCTTTATCTAATAAACACACTATTTCCATTTTCTCCTTTAACATAAGCATCTTTTTCTTTACCACCTGTTAAGCCATTTCAACACACGTTACACCGAAACGAACAAACTAATAATAACTATGTACTAATGTTTTGGGATTCGTTAACAAGCGGAACTCGTAAAACGAGGAATCCCCGAACACATGTCGGTAAATATCTATTACAGATTACTTTGATGTGTGCGTTTAGTTACCTACGCGTCCGTTTATGAGAAATTTTTGCCCGTTATGTAAAGAAAAATAGTGTCCGCGTCCGTTTATTAGAGCGTCCGTTTATGGGAAGTAAATATGTACATGAAAATATAGGTTTGGGGTTGGTTCCAAGTTTTTTGACCGCTTATAAGAGATGTCCGCTTATTAGAGCTGTCCGCAAGGAGAGCTTTCACTGTATATCAGATACCTATGAAACTAAAAATCTTTTACTACAATTTTTTCACTTTTATCTTAGTTCTCTACTCGTATTAAATGCGTCTGACAGTTCACCCCGGTCTCCAATTATACATTCAATCCTTTTCGTTGTAGTTTTACCATTTCTACCAGGTGGTATCCCAAATTCCAACATTGCTGAGTACAACTTTAATCTATCAACTGTGTTGAAGCTTTTTTGAAGCCCACGAACATATAATGGCAGTCGACATCAACTTCATATGTCTTTTCAAATATCTGTCTGATGAGTTGTTGAGTTATTTCTTTTGAATTTCTTCTAATCAGGTCTCAGTATGTTTTCCACATAGAGTATCAGTCGTTTGTTAAGTATTACCGATAGGGGCTTTATATTGTGTATTCAGCAATGTTATTCCTCTACAGTTAGCTCGTGTAGCCCTTTTTGTGTATTGGGCATATAATCTCAATGTTCCATTCTTCTGGTATTATGTGTTCCTACCTTGTGTCAACAGGTTGTGGGGTTTCCTTAATCCACATTCGGTTGTGCATATTTTTGTTGTTCACTGTTAGAGTGCAATAGTGTTCTGAAGCGTCCTTAATTTACTTACCTTTTAGGTTAAAATATTTTCGTTTCATATTAACATTGTTATAAAACTTTATGTGTTCACGCTTTCTGGTTAAGGCCATCTCTTCGAGCTCCCTACTTAGTATTTTGTGATCTTTTTTTGTGTTTATGTAGCCGTTTCTCCTCCCTCATTCTGTTTTTGTATTCTTGTAATAATGTTAGCTCTAGTTCTTCTCCTTATTATTTTTAGATAGGCTCTCGTTTTTTCCTTCGTCGCTTTCTTGAATTCCTCGTCAACCTAATCATTTTGCTGTTCTATTGGTTTTTGGCCCGGCACCTCTTCCATGACAAACCTCATTAGCTCGGTTTATTCTATATTCCACCCTAGATGTTGATGTGTCTGATATTTCAAGGGTTTTCAGTTTGCTGACGTTATACCTTCTTTAAATATTCGAGCTCTGAGAATCCCTGCAACTAAATACTGGTTAGAGTCTATGTTAGTTTCTCTATAGCTTTTGCAGTCGAGTACGTTGGGTCCATCTCTTGAGTCTATCAAGATGTGGTCGATTTGATTCGTGGTTTGTTCATCTGGTAAGGTTCACATTATTTTGTGAACCTCACCAGATGATACTACTTTTATATGCATATCTTAAATTTGTTATTTTCACATAGTTTTTGGGACATATCAGTATACACACCCTAGTTTTTCATAAAATTCTTATGCTATGAATGAATTTACGTCTTAAATTCCTCCGTGCCAATAATTTTAATTTTCATACTTAAAATCTGTTGAACTCAAGAAAAATGTTTGTTATGATTGTTTACGCATTACCAGTCTATTGAGCTTGATATGATTATATCTTGTATTTTTCTTTTATACACACTCAAATACCCACACGGAATTCCTTTGTACAAATTCACGTGGGTTTTTTTATCTTGTAAAGGATCGCAATCAATACTGCCTTTGAGGCGTTTTTATACGGTGTGTATTCATACTCAACAGGGTTGTTACTCTCAAAAGAAAAGAAAAACTATGAAACTAGCAATTTAAGTTGTATTGAAATAATGAATCAAAATCAATTTTCTAAGAATAATTTATTGAAACCTGTTAGATTCTGAATTTAGTTTAAACTAAATTTTATAAGCAATAAAATTTTAATTATTATTATCTTTTTTACAGTATTCTTATTGATTCATCTGGAGATACTCAAGGTGATATAACATCTAAAGGAAGACGTGGTAGAATAAAAAGACCGGTTACAATTGGGCTTCCGGTTGTTGAAAATGAGAAAACGCCCGTGAAAAGCGTTCAAAAACCTGAGAAGGATGCGTCAAAGAACGATATTTCTCATGGTAAGGATTTTATTGATTTTAAATTCACCATAAAATATATTTTTAAATTCTTTAAAAAACAAATTTTTAAAAAACCATCCGCAAACTAAGTTTTATGTTATAGTAAAATCAATCTTTTATTTAATTATTAAATCAATAAAATGCAAATATTTTAACCGCCTCTCTGCTGTGCTTTATATATTCCTAGAGCGTTCCATAACCGATGTTCGTATTTGATTAAAAAATATCAAAAATATGTTTTAAGTATATTTGAACCAAAAATTCTCAAAATTCCAAATTTTAATTATATTTGTTTCGTTAATAGAAGATGAGGATTACGAAGATTTCGAAGAGGATCACGTAGAAGATACAAAAGTCGACGACAGTGAAATGGACATGTACCAAATGCTGCGTCAACATCGTGATGATGGCGATGAAACTGATGCGCTCTTCAGTACAGGATACGAAGAAGAAGATTATTAAAACATCTTAATTCTTGAGTAAAACAACTTACTTCATAATGTAAGTTAAAAAGAATTACTCTACTTTTACAATTAAGTTATTTTTTATTGTATTTTGCTTATTATTACATTATTTATTCTTGTAGCATAATTACTAATTATAAACAATTATAAAGAATTGAATTAAACGAAAGAATAAAAATGTTGTTTTACACTGCTAAGTAGTTTTGCTGTCTTATTTCGTCTCCTTTTTCTTTTTAATGCTTCCGCTGTCGATAAATTGGATGAACGTTCCGAACATGATAACAACTTCCTGGTTCGAAAGAAAAAGATTTATCAGAAACGCGACGTACTTGAAAATCGATTTAACTGAATTTATATGCCATAAACGAGTTCGTAACTCGTCACGTGTCGTATTTTATTCTTCTGGTTTGGAGAGAGAATCGAAATGAAACTGTTAAAATAGAAAAGAGGAGGGAATACAGATTAGGAATTATCAAGTAGTTTTCGTGAATTTCAATACAAAAGTTGGTAATAGTTAGAAATATTAGGTATATTTATACCTAATATTTAAGAAAATTTAATATATCAAGTACATATATTGTAGATATATAGGTAACTGAATTGGTTTTATTTATAATTATTATTCAGTGTGCTAAAGATAGCCTTGTATTTAAGAAAATTAAGCTGTTATTTAGCGAGAAGAGAATGTGAAATTTGGTGGAGGTGCCGGACATTGTTGATTATTTTTATGTTTACAAACCATTATTGTTTAATGATCATTATCTGTGGCGCTACAGCCCAATTTTTGGGCTTTGGGCTCCTCTAAAATTTTCTAAAGGTTTCGCAACGGTGCGTCTTTTTTCGAAGTGTGATCATTAATCACACGATCAACCCCTTCCAGGAGGAAAGGTGGCTACTACACCACTAACGACACCAGAGTTGTTCGATTGGTGCCGGGACCGACGGCTTAACGTCCGTTGTTTATTGATGGCGTTTAATAAATTTTATTCAATTTATTATACCAGCAAAAGTAACAACATGACATTTTTTTTTCGAAGGTTCTTCTTAGTCCGCCATCTCCCTACGAAGGTTAACGATCCAATTGGCTCTAATTGTACGTGCACCTCTGACTAACTAAGGACCCGGAGGATCTCGTAACGCTCAACACTCATTATATACTTGATGTACTGAAGCTTTCGTTTTTTAGCGATTACCAGAAGACACATATGCAGCTGCAGGCTCAGGTCACGATTTTTGAGGAAAGTCTTCATAGATATAAACGTCCTTCTGGCCTGCCCGATTCGTAAAAGGACTACTTATTTGGGATCAGTTATTTCATTCAGCTCCAAGATATTTCACGGTCTACACTTACTCTATTTTCTCGCTGTTAATTCACAGGTTTGTCTTTTCAGCGAAAAAGGCACGACTGGGAGAACACGATCATCTTAGTCTTGGCAAAATTCAAATGTAAGTCGTGTTGTACACTATGCGTGGCAATGAGGTTCATCACGTTTTGGAGATGTGCAATATTTGGTGGCCAACACGATAATGTCATCGGCAAAACGTATGTTGTTTATGGGGGTTCCATTGATCTTAATTCATCCTTCAGCATTCACTAGTGTTTCCTGAAATATTACTTCCGAGTACCACTTCTGTAGTTTGACTCCAGTACAATTGTGATGACAAGTAGGTCACCTTCATCAATGCCGGAGGATTTAAAAATTTCTGCAAGCTTTCCATGTGAGATGCAGTCGAAAGCTTTCTGATAGTCAATAAAACAGGCGTATATCTATATTCATGTCCCGGTAACTTTGTGTGTGTACATAGTTGGAAAATAGAGCTTCGCGTGTAAATGCTCCGTTTCTGAAGCTAAACTGATGAAACATCACACTTATCATGCGATAGTCGTTGCAATGGGAAGTGTTCGGTTTCTTGGGTAGGGTGTCAAATGTCGACTTTAGCCAATCCATTGGTATCTTACCAACCTTGTGTATGGAGTCGAATACACCGATGCGGAGTTGCAAACCTCTTCCTCTGTGATAACAGGAAGCCGATTACGATCATCACCTTGAAGTGGTTGCTCGTGCGGCTTTTCTTTTAACGCTCATTACGATTTTGTTATTTCCGTCCTTCAAAACACCCTAACGTTGTTTGTATCTTGTGTTTGTGAGTTTCTTGATTTTCCTCTGGATATTAAACAAGTTATGCTTGTTTATGCAGCGACTCTACCTCGTTGCATTTCTTTGTCAGCCATCGAGCCTACGCTTTTCGTTATTCTGCTCTCACCATCCTATTCAGCTCCCTATAACGGCTGTTGTCCCTGCTTGTTTTCTTCTTTCTGTCGTAAGCTGGAGGATTTGGTTTATAATCTACTGCTGTTTCTTGGGAGTATGTGAAAATCCAATGTCGATATCTTGCGTGTCAGTGAATTATGCGTAAATTGGGCTCTATTGAAGTGGCGGAGGCATAACTCTACTACGACTGGGTTGTGGTCGTTATTAATATCAGTGCCGGGGCGTGTTATCGGAGATTTCTATGTATATCGCCGTCGGGGTTGCTATTTAAAGAAAGTGTTTCTGGCAGATAAATTATGCTCTGTGCATAATTGCACCAGCCGGTCTCCTTTCTCGATGCGTGTTGCGAGTCCATACTGTCTGGTAACTTTCCCATTTACACCCTTTCCTAATTTAGCATTAAAATCTCCAACGATAATTGTTATTTCTCCTTTTTTGGCTAACTTTATGACCTCTTCTAAGGTGTTTTTATTCGCTAGTTGGAGCGTAGGCTCAGATCACATTCATGATTCTAGGGGTGGTGAGTAGCCTTAGGACTATCACTCTATCTCCAAGCGCAATGACGTCTCTGGTGAACATCTGAACCACAGAGATATGACGGACTTCTTTAGTTCTGCTGAAATTAGAATTGTATTGGTGTATGGGTATTGGGGGTCTTCTCCTCCAAAGTAACATATGATGCCGTTTTGTGTCCTCTGAGTTGCTGTACCTGCCATCTTACCTCGCTTAGACCCAGTATCTTAATCCGCAGTCTCTGAATATCCGCATCCTCGTTCACTAGTGTTCTCATCATGTATAGCATCACACTTTCTCAATTTCAATTTATTAAAAATTCTACTAATTACCAGGAACCACTATTAAAAAACAAAATTATTATATAAATCCATTTTCATCGATATTATTTAAGGTAAATTGAATAAATATTTCTTTCTATTTTACTGTTAATCGATGTATTAATTTAAATATTTCCTTTACATGTTTCGGCTTATTAGGCCATCATCAGAAGGTTTAACGTTAATATGGTTGGGGAGGAATTGGAACTTTAATTTAACTTTACATTACTAATAACATCAAGGGAACGATGTTCATTTTATTGGGACGGGATTTGAGGTTATGGACGTATCATGCAACGGTAACGTTCGTGAAGGTACGTACCTTCTACATTAAAAAACAACTTTTCAATGCTAAAGATAAAATCGGATTTAAGTGTGACACTTAAATTGGACGTACTTCAACCATTTTGATTTTAACGTGTAGTATCTTTGTAATATAAATCTAACAGTTAATTATATTTCGGAATTAATAATTTAAAAAGTTTGTCAAGAACTCGTTTTATACAATGCTCGATTTATTATCTTTGAAATTGTTATTTTTATAAAATTTTGACGAAGTCTCTGAGATGCCGTTATAGGCGAAACTAGTAAAACAAATTAAATCATAAAATAAACCAGTTAAAGTACAGTGATTTCTTTGTTTAAATTTTACGCGTCATAATTATTTTATTTTGCGTATAGTACCATTATTCCTTGGCTCTAATTTGTCAAATTTTGCATTGATTCGATTTAATATCTTCATCATGCTCTACATTATCTGTATTATAGATAGTTTGGATGTCGATGGGACAAATGCCGACATTGCTGGATTCTGTGACATTCTCTGGGCATAAGACTGATATGATAGATAAGATAGACATAAGATATTAACTTTCTTAGTATCCTCTGTAGCTAGCCGGGTGCTCTTTTTTGCACCTAATGCTCTTGGCAGGTGTGTTTGGATTTAATGCAGCTTGTAGTTAGGTGGTCTTCTACTGCATAATTTCATTTTGTGCCATTCCTTTGACATTTTTTACATTGTGCAATGAGCTTGCTATTCCTTACTGCTACTATCTTCACTTTCAGGTGGTTGATATATTGGATATCGTAGATTTTGTTGATATTTGCTGATCTATTAATGTTGGCTAGGATTGACTCCAAGTTCATCGTAGAAGGATAAATAAAATTCTTGAATGACGATGAAAATTCTTTTATTAAATTGGTTCGGTGCTACATGTTTCGACAATAATTTGTCTTCATCGGGCACGACTAAGAATAGTAAACAAAGAGAGAAAAGACATGTCAAAAAATAATAACAATTAAAATATTATGATACTAAACATAACCAACTTAACTGTTATGATACTAAAAACTACTAACAAAACAAATATTTACCGTCAAATTGGAAGAATACGTGGTTGAGTTGAAAGGAAAGTCCGGCCAAAGTGCAAAAACCATCAAAACCCACAGCGGTGAATCATTACGGTAAAAACAAAAAACAAAGAGTGACTTAAATTAAGTAACGGGAAATATGAAAAGGAATAAGTAATTAATATTGTAGGGTGGTGAAAGGATGATTTTAAATTATAGAGTTTAGGTAGAAACAGAAATCTGAAAAATAACTCGAAAAATAAATTTGAGAAATAAAAGAATGAGCAGATGGTGACTTACGTCAAAAGTGGTTTTGGGAACCTCAATGAAAAAACCGGAGAATGTGAAAAGAAACCCCAAAAAAGGGTGAAATGTTCTTCGAGTAACGAGAACTGGAAAAGTAAACAAAGAAAAAATTGATAATCAAAAAAATTGATAATTAAAAAAGAAAAAAGAGGCGAAACTTACGGAGAAACACAAAGGTGAATTTGAGTCGGTCTTAACAGTTCACATATTTTCGTTGGACTGAGGGTAAGAAAATGAGACCAAGTTGAGCATGCGTAACAGGTGGAATGTAAGAAAAATGGGGGCGGTGAGAGTGAAATATTAAAAATTATTTTTAAAAAATATTTTCAAAAAACATTATAGTTGAAATAGGGAAAAAAAGTTTTACAAAAATGATAAAAATTGTCTGAATGAATTTTGTTCAATATTTTCATTCATAAGGGTCACGTGATTTACAAACTTTCTTAATTAACTTAACATTATCTATGGAAATCTTGTGTTTAGATTCTTCCATGTGTTTGAAAACTGCGGAAGTTTTCTTGGAGGAGTGTTCTTTAAATCTAACCTTAATGTTGCGACCTGTCTGTCCGATGTACATTAAATCACATTCTGGACAATGAATGTTGTAAATACCACTCAGTTCTAAACTATTAAATTTATGTTTATTATTAAATAAATGTAACAGAGGTTTGTTATTATTGGAAATGAAGGCTGGAATAATGTTGAATTTATGTAAGTTTCGTGAGAGTTTGTTTTCTAGGGATGGGTGGAAGGGAACAGCGATAAACTTAGGTTTGTTTTTGAAGTGTGGATAGATTATTCTATTTAATTGCATATTATGAACTTTATTGAAAATGTATTGTAAATCTTTAATAGTATACTTATTGTTCAAACCCATTTTGGCAATTCTCCTCACTTCATTAATCAGATTTTCGTCACTGAGTGGAATGTTGTATAAACGGTTGAATAAAAATCTAAATCCAGCATATTTATGTTGTCTACAGTTAAAAGAATCTTTTGGGATCATAATATCAGTGTTGGTAGGTTTAGTGAAAATGTTGAACAAAAGCTTGTTGCAATTAATGTCTCTTTGAATTTGTAAATCGAGGAAGTTAAGTATACCGGAGTCATTTTCACATTCTCTGGTGAATTCTAAATTTGAGATGTTGTTGAAAATAGTTGTAAGTGCATGAAGTTTAGCTGGGTTACCTTTAAAAATTATGAAAATATCGTCCACGTATCTGGCGTAGAAGGAGATGTCGCATGTAAAGAGATTATATTTTTCTGAGAAAAGAGTATTTTCAAAATCGTTGACAAATATATCGGCTAGGATTCCTGATATAGGTGAACCCATAGGTAACCCATCGTTCATTCTGTAAAATTTCTCATTAAAAGTAAAAAAGTTTTGTTTGCAGGTGAATTCGAGAATTTTAAGAAAACTATTGATTTCCAGGATGTTCAAATTATGTTTGTTATGGTTGTTAATTAAATATTTTCCAATGATATCAATGGTTTNTGTTTCATCAGTTTAGCTTCAGAAACGGAGCATTTACACGCGAAGCTCTATTTTCCAACTATGTACACACACAAAGTTACCGGGACATGAATATAGATATACGCCTGTTTTATTGACTATCAGAAAGCTTTCGACTGCATCTCACATGGAAAGCTTGCAGAAATTTTTAAATCCTCCGGCATTGATGAAGGTGACCTACTTGTCATCACAATTGTACTGGAGTCAAACTACAGAAGTGGTACTCGGAAGTAATATTTCAGGAAACACTAGTGAATGCTTTTCGCCTCTTTTTTCTTTTTTAATTATCAATTTTTTTGATTATCAATTTTTTCTTTGTTTACTTTTCCAGTTCTCGTTACTCGAAGAACATTTCACCCTTTTTTGGGGTTTCTTTTCACATTCTCCGGTTTTTTCATTGAGGTTCCCAAAACCACTTTTGACGTAAGTCACCATCTGCTCATTCTTTTGTTTCTCAAATTTATTTTTCGAGTTATTTTTCAGATTTCTATTTCTACCTAAACTATTTAAAAACATCCTTTCACCACCCTACAATATTAATTACTTATTCCTTTTCATATTTCCCGTTACTTAATTTAAGTCACTCTTTGTTTTTTGTTTTTACCGTAATGATTCACCGCTGTGGGTTTTGATGGTTTTTGCACTTTGGCCGGACTTTCCTTTCAACTCAACCACGTATTCTTCCAATTTGACGGTAAATATTTGTTTTGTTAGTAGTGTTTAGTATCATAACAGTTAAGTTGGTTATGTTTAGTATCATAATATTTTAATTATTATTATTTTTTGACATGTCTTTTCTCTCTTTGTTTACTATTCTTAGTCGTGCCCGATGAAGATAAATTATTGTCGAAACATGTAGCACCGAACTAATTTAATAAAAGAATTTTCATCGTCATTCAAGAATTTTATTGATCTATTAATGGGCAACACATACAATGGCAAGGTATTCAATAATTTTGAAATTTCTTTTCTTTAATAAATTAGTTGTGAATGTCTTCCGCAGTTGTTAAGAGATATAAATTTCTCGCCATCGCCTTTATATGCATATGTTATGACTTTATTTTCGTATGTATCCCGTTCAATACTAAACTTATTTATTAAAGCTGTCAATGTTCTGTATACGTCATTAACTTTATTATACATTAACTTTAATTTGCTTGTTATTCATCTTGCATACATGAGTTTGTTGGGCTGTAAGGTTTGTTTTCTGATGGCATTTTTCTTGTATTTGTATGCAGTAATTCCTCATTTTGTGCCTATAATAAGCTTACTTGCCTTTTTAATTGGTTAATTTCATTTAAAGTCTGCTATAGCTGCATTTGCAGATTGTTGATAATAATTCCATTATCTGTTGTCTGTTGTATAGTTAGCATTGTAGGCGTTATAGTAACACCGTTATTCTGGTTAGTTCCCTAATTCGATTACGAATAAACGATTTGTATTGTTGTCGTTAACCGTATCACATACAAAGTGATTGCATAAACTCCGGCTGCTCGACAAATATTTTAAAAATTATTTAAATATATCTAAAATGATGAATAAAATACCTATTTATTATAAAATACTTTGAAATATATTACGAATCTCGAATATTGTTCAAAACATAATTCTAAACGTCGTTCTGAGAAAATCAATAATATCGTTTTGAATACCAATATTAAAGAAACCATTCGATTTAATCAAATTTCGAAGATTGAATTCTGCGAAATAAGTGCATAAAGGCAAATACTATTTCCGATGCATCAAAAAACCAGACCTTGATATTGTAAAACCACCAATGCTTTTTTTTTCAGACTTTATGAACGGACTCTACGTATAATTTTATGATTTCCTTGTAACAAACGATTGATTTAAGTTAATGATAAAAACCAAATTGGGAGGAGGAGGGTGAATAAAGAGTTAGATTTATAAATATTCCCTTTTAAATTAAAAGTTATACGAAAGTATACTATTTCCAAAGAAATCTTTAAAATATTGAATACCTTAAAATGTTTATTATTTAAACAATATTATAATTCTGTATGTTCGTATTTAACACTCTTTCCTAATAATTTATCCCAAAACTCCATATTTTTTCGATCAAACGGTTCGACCTTTGTAATTAATGAATCCGTGGATATATCTAAATAATTCAGTTTATTTCGAGTAACTTTTAACCAACTTACACCCAAATCATTATTTTTCGGTGTAGGTTTCCCATGTTTTGCAAAATTCGTCCAAAGTTTTACCATCTTAATAATATTTTGGCCTTCAATTGAGTTTTGAGTAAGATCTTTTGGGGTAAATTTATTTTTAAATAAGTAACCAAGTTCTTCAACATGACCCGCGCCCGGCATTTTAGCAATATCTTCGTGCATTTGTTTGAAATAGTTTAATTTAGTATCCGATGAAAATTTATATAAATATAAATCTTTGTGATCAACTAAAACATGTTCGCTAATTGAAGCGTATACTCCATAAATTATGAAAATTTCGGAGAATAATTTTGAGTATTTCTCGGTTCCAGCTTTGTATTCGTTGATTTTGTATTGTTTTTTGATACGATTGAAAAGATTTTGTTTTGACTCTTCATCTGTAACGTTTAGTTGATGAGGAATAAAATAGTGTTCGGGCATTTCTTTTAATTCTCCGTATATAAGCATATCCTGAGCATAAACAACTAAGACTTCGTTGCTATTAAATCCTAGAATAAAGGGAAGTTTTTGGAATTGTCCTCTGGATAAAATCTTTGTAGGTGATTCTGATAAAAATATATCTCCGCTGTGTAAAGGTTCCACAACCGGGCCAAATAAAGGTATTTTGTGAAGGGGAAGTAACTACAAAATGATTAAAATCAAATACATAAAACAACAAATAAAAATATTACCCTATCCGATTTTTTTTCAACTTTGATAATATCATCAATTGGAATTGATTGTAAATATTTTAAAATGTCCTTTTCGTCATCAACCGAAAAATTTAAATTCTCAGCAAGGTAAATTCCCGTATTTTTTTGAGCTTCATTCCAAATGCAATTAGCACTGCCGCTTTGGGCGATCACTCTGTGTACTAATCCTTTAGAAAGTGGAGATAACATGTGCATATGGACACTTGCTCCTCCAGCACTTTCGCCGAAAAGCGTCACACTTCCAGGATCGCCACCAAACATTTCGATGTTTTTCTGAATCCATTTTAACGCTGAATTTTGATCTTTCAAAGCGGCATTACCGGGGACTCCAATCTCCGGATTTTCAAAATTAAGAAATCCTAAAACATAAGTTTTAATTAATATTGGAAGATTTTGGAATTAAGATTTTACCAAAGAATCCCAACCGATAATTGATTGTTATTAACACAATTTTTTCAGGGAGGAAAAATTCTGGTCCAAACATATCTAATTGTCCACTTCCCACAGTGTATCCACCACCGTGGATAAAAACCATAACTGGTCTTAAATTTTTGGTGGCAACCTAATATTTTTCAATATTAATTTGATTTATATTGTACATGAAGCGATTCAAAAGTAAAGTGTTAATTGAAAAAATTACGTCACAATAAACATTATTTAATTCATAATTAATTAGTTCTGTTGTTTTGAAATTATTTTACAATTACAAGATTCTTATTACAACCTTGAATTGTGAGAGGAGACTTTTTATACAGATTTGGCAGAATTTGGGGCAAAGAAAATTATTCACGAAACTATTCAGTACAACACTTCCAATTTAAGAACTGAAGAGGGTAACACTTGCGACGTTGGCGTTTGCTCTCTGAGTCACATTAAAAAAAGATATTTCAAAGATAATGTCACTTTTAAAGCATTCTCAGAGAAACGATGTGTTGAACTGACTTTTATTAATTAACCGGGTTGTCTCTTTTAAGTAGTATAGCGATTTAAAGAAGTATGAAGATCGATAATGTATTTTCTCGTTACGATAAGTATATCTGGGAGAAACCTCTGGACCTAATTAAACGGTTGATGATGAATCAATCAATAAATTGGACGGACAGAACCCTAAGCTACCGATCTGGCTCTGGATAGTTCTAACGAATATCTTGACGACATCGAACCATGAATCTAGCGGTTTATTTAGTCTAACTTCATTTAAGAAATTCAAGCAGATTCGCAAAACACTTTCTTAATTTTGGGTAACACTGAATTTGCAATTCAAGTTGTTCGAGGACTAGTTCCTGATGGTTTCTGATTTCTCGCAATGCTAGAATGCTATTATACCTATAATTTTTGCAGTCTGCAAATGTGTGTAAATCTGATTGTCGTGTGAGATCAATCATTTCAATCGTTTTAGTCATTTTGTACTTCTATAACTGTGATAACAATGTTTTTTGATTACGAGACTGTCAAAAATAGCTGATGATGTTTTTTCTTGTAGCTGCGTTGCACTCTAAATTCAATTTTGAAATCTGAATTCAATATACGATCTCCTGAAGCATTGGAGCAAAATCATGATGTTCTTTTGCAACTTTAAAACTACCAATAGTTTTTTAAGATTCATTTATGTATATTCTGCACTTTAATTTGCATTTCACATTTTACCAGGTGTATATCCTTTATGTTCAATACTTTTAACAAGTTCCGGGAGGAATGCTGGCTATCCATTTCATCTGCAGATGCAGTTTCATCTTTAATTTTTATATTATGAAAGTATGTTTTTTAATAAAATCTCTGATCCAATCCATACTTGCAGAAAGTTTAATTTCTCTGTTTGAATGAATGCGAGATGAACTGCTTGTTCATCTGAGTGCTGTTTGTTTGGTGGTATTTTCATCTACTGGCATTATTCTTTTCTGTACATATCTTCCATTCATATTAGTATATGATGATGATTTCTCACTTACTATTGCTCCATAATAAACCAACTTCCTAATTGAAGCTCCAGTTCTTTTGATTGATCTTACGACTGATTGGTCATTTTATCTTTGACCTACTGTTTCCGGGAATTCTCTCTTCTGGTATTTTAGTTAGGTATACATACCGGTTCTGCTGTTTCTATTTCACGTACTAACGATACATTTTCTAAATCATTTTTTATGGTTAGGTTGAAATTGAAGTTAATATCCATTATACCAGTTTGTTTAACGTGGTAGAAAAAATTTCGAATTTTGTTGTACTTTTACTGGTTTATTTATAATTTTGTTGTCTAACTAGTTTCGGCAAAACCCATCATCAGAGACAACTACAAGAATTAACAATTTTAATCAATAAGTGAAATTTAAATATGTGAATTAACAATAAGTTTTTTATAAAAAGTTTTTTAAAAAATACTTACAGGTCATTGTATCTTACAGGAAATTAACATCGAAAATATAAAGCGGTGAACGAATTAAAATTATTACTGTCACAAATTTACTTAAAATACATGTAAAAATTCTTTTATAAAACTTTAAAGATTTAACTCCGCATGGACATCTTTTGTGGTGGATGTTATAAGATGGTCTGAATTCAGGTTGTTCTTCTTCGTAAGAGAACAATAAATAATGCGCATGTACAAAATATTTGGTGACGTATTTCAATTCTAAACTTAAACTGGAAAGTATTTTGAAAAATCATACAAAGTAAACCATCGAGGTTCAATATAATTAAATGTAATTAAAATGTTTTTTATTTTTAAAAACATGTTATAATTTTATATAATATTTCAAACATTTTTGAAATATTATAGTGGGATAATAAGGATGTTGGAATTTAAAATGGGAATTTTAAATTATGTAAATAGGAAGAGGTGTATAAGGATTAGGGTTCGAGAAAGGAAATGGGGGATTGGCCGCTGGGACCCCAAAAAGTGCGAAAAATGCACGCGGACCAGATGCATTAGTCCTCTGCATTTTGGGGGAAAGGAAAGGTTAAATATTTGTAAAGTGGGATTTTTAAAGAAAGTACCTGATCATTAAGGCATTCTAATTCTGTGTTGTTATATTTAAATTTATCTATTTCATATTGTTCTAATAAACTAAGTTTAAAACCTTTGTTCTGTTTATGTAGTAACGTAACACCCTCTTGTATGTCAAGATCATGTCTAAACATTAACATATGTCTACCAAAATTGGAATTGTCATTATGCTGGTGTTCTTTAATTCTAGTTTTGATAGATCTACCTGTTTCACCAATATATGTAGCTCCACATGTACTACATTCCAATTTATAAACACCATTTTGATCTAACAAATTGATTTTATCTTTGGCGTTGAATAGTTTTTTCTGTAAAGTGTTTATGTTTTTATAGGAAATATTAATATCGTATTTACGGAAAATCTTTTGTATATTATAAGCAACATTACCAGGAAAATTAATTGATCTATATATTAAATTATTATTTTGTGTGAGTGGTTGTAAAGTGGTTGAATTTTTAAGTAGATGTTTTATATGAAGTTTTTTGATTAAAGAATTTATCTGTGGTATTGAGAAACCATTATTAATTGCTATAGATTTAATGATATTAAATTAATTATTTCTATCTTGTTCGGATAGGGGTGTATTGAGACATCTGTGTATATAAGCTCTGAAAGCTGCAGCTTTATGAGAATTATGATGGAAAGAAAAATTAGGAATTACAGTGTCAGTTTGTGTGGGTTTTCTATAAATTTTAAATTCAATTGATTCTCCTTTATTAATGAGAGTTAAATCTAAAAAATTTTAGTTGGTTGTCGCTTTCTAATTCCAAAGTGAATTTAATATTACTATGTAAATTATTGATGTAATTATGAAACTCGTTAATAGAAATATCATTCTCATTATTCCAAATAATTCATATGTCATCAATATACCTACGCCAAAGGGTTATGTTCTTATTTAGAGGATTGTTAGTATCAAAAATTGTATTTTCAAGATGATTAAGGAAAATATCCGAGAGAAGGCCGCTCAAAGGAGATCCCATAGGTAACCCTTCGTTATATTTATAGAATTTATTGTCAAACTGACAAAAATTTTGTTCAGTGCATATTTTCAGTAAATTGTATACATGTTCTGTATCAACCTGATTAATTTTGTTACTTATCATATTTTTAGAGAGAATCAAGGTTTCAGAAACTGGTATATTAGTATATAAATTTGTTACGTCAAAGGAAAGTAAAGTGAAATTGCTTGGTAATTGTGTGTTTTGAATTATGTTAATTAAATCATACCTATTATTTATAGTGAAATCTGCTTTAAATTGAATTATGTTTTTGAAAAATTGTATTAGAAATGTTGAAATTTTATAAGTACTTGAGTTTATGGAAGAAATAATAGGTCTAATTGGGAAGTTAGTTTGGTGTAATTTAATCAATGAATAAATCAAAGGTGTTTTTGGATTCATTGGTAGAAAATTAAACATAGAAATAGAATGTTCTTTAAGGAAATCTTGTGCTGATTTAACTGCTTTTTTAGTTTTAGTGTGAAAACTAGATGTTGGGTTTTTCTTAATTTCAATAAAATTATTTTCATTAAAAAATTTTAAAGTTTTTGAAATATATGAAGGTTTGTCTAAAATTACTAAACCCGCGTTTTTGTCACCATTCGTAACTATCAGTGAATTGACTTTAATTTTATGTTTAATCTTACGTAATGTTTGAATTTCTTCCCAATTAGAACTTTCTTCAGTTTTGGTGTTCCTTTCTTTCCTTTTCAGTAATTCGATGAGATCATTCTTTAAGCTGTCCTCCCTCGGTACTTTGTTGGCTGCACATTCTAGATCTATTGCCAATCTTGGTAGATTAATTTGTTCAGGTGTCATGGTGTATTTGTGTCCCTTATTGAGGAGGTCCTGTTCTTTTTGATTAAAATGGATCTTGGATAAGTTAGTGAATCTTGGATGGAATTTATGTTGATTTAAATTTAATGGATCTTGGGAGTTTTCACGTTTTATGTCTCTTAGTTTGTTGAGTTTTTTATTTTTGTTTTTCCATGTCGCATTAAGTTGTTCTCTTTCGAATTGTTTTGCCTGTTCAATTATTTCTTGAATTTCGACAAAATGAAGTCTGTTTGTTAAAATGTTGTACAACATTAAACTTGCCGAAACTAGTTAGACAACAAAATTATAAATAAACCAGTAAAAGTACAACAAAATTCGAAATTTTTTCTACCACATTTTTTATGGCTTTGTTTCTAATTGGATCCTTACTAGCTTTCTCCGCGATTTTTCTTAAGAACCTCATTTCCAAATGAGTGTCCTAATGGTGTCTAAACATTCATATTTATGTACTGTTCCAAGCTGGCTCTTCAGATATGCACATATCAATTTTTCTTTCTAGGTAGTTCTGTTTTCGTGCTTGCTGTTAGCATTATATCGTCTGCATAAACTAGATCAGTGTTTCCCTCTTATCTTGCTTTTCTTTTACATTTCTTATTTTTTGATCCATGAACATTAGAAATAGTATGGGCTTAGGCAGTTCTCTTGTTTCATACCTTTCTCTATATTAAAGTTTTTTGCATTTCTTCATTTAGCCTGACACAGCCTTTTATACTTTCTGTCTGATATAACTACATAATACCAACAATCATGTAAAATCAAAATAAGTCGTGCAAAAACAAAATAAAATGTTCATTTTAAATTTGTGTTAGATCAGCTTATTAATTATACTCAAATTATTGGTGATTTGAATAGGTAAATTTATCTATAATAGGAAATAATTAATTCATCACAGTTTACAAATTAATTAAACATAATATTAAACAGTCATGAAATAAGAATCGTTAAAAATTCATATAGTAGTAGAATTAAAACCAAATTCAATCACATTCAGACGCACGCCCTCTCTGCAGAATGGAGCGAAATTCAGACATAAACAGTGATGACGTTATTGGATTTTGTAAAAACGGCTTTTTGCTAAAAAGTAAAGAAGACAAAACTATAATTCAGAAAATGTTGGAAGAGTTAAAACAAAAACAAATAGTTAACAACTATATAGAAAGTATCCCGAAACTTATACATAACAAAACACCAAATGAAAATTCATTTTCCGCTATAAATATGTAACATAAAACCAGACATTAATGAAAATGACATTAGTACATATCTGGCAATCAAAATCATTACCCACAGATATTGCAAAAGAATAATATCACGCCTAACCAATAACCGAACACGCAAAATACGCATTATTACAGGTGACGTAAATGCGTTTCAAAAACTAGTCAAAGAAGGATTGTATTTTATGCACAAACATTACCTAGTTATAGAGAGCGAATCTTCAGCACCAATCCCTTGTGGAAAATGCACAAAATTTACCCACACAACCGACAAATGCACATAAAAACAACAATGCACTAAATGCAAAGGAAACCACCACATGGACCAATGTGAAACAAACCTCCCTGAGACCTATTTGCCTTGCAACAAGGTGGGACACGCAGCGTGGTCATTCAAATGCAAGAAATGTTCACTAGAACCCATAGAAGGTCTTCCGACAACACAAATAAAGTCAGCAAACAAAAAATCTGCTGAAGTCGATGCTTCTATCACCACAAAGTCAAGAATCCACAAGGCAATTACGATGCATGACTATATCATTGACACATTTATCAACGAGTTGAATAAACCAGAAACAAAGAACAGAAAGGAAATGATACAGAAGTTGAGAACATGGTTTGCGGAACATTGTTATGTTGGATCGCTTGGACGTTGACGCTCCTCCAGCAACGGTGCCAATCCACGGAAGTCAAGAAACAACTATGATGGACGACTTGAGCCGAACCCCAGGTTACTTGTAGCAATTAGACTTACCAAAGGTAGCAGACACTACAGAAATTACTGACAAGACTAACATAGATAGCCCAAAACAATATATAGACATACTATATAGTAATATATGTACTTTTAATAACAAAAAGACTTTTATCTATAATTAGATCCAACAGAAAGACATAGATCTAGTATTGTTTGTTGAAACTAAGACAAAAACCGACCAAATAGTACAATATAGTGACTGAAATGTAATTCAAAAGAACGGACACAAAATAAACAATACAAGAGGATCACTGATACTTGCTAACCCAGCTGTTAACATAAAGAAAGACAATCCTCCAGCTCTTAACAAACAACTTAATGAATGCCTACATTTTAAAATCCCATTTAAAGACAATTTTATCAATTTTTTTTGCGTATATTCACCCTCATTCTAAGATAGAAGAAAAGATTTTCACAAAAGCAACCCTTTATGAATATACCATAATAGTAGGGGATTTCAACTGAAATACGTCCAAGAAAAAGCAAATGCAATCTTTTCTCTCCAACTTGAACTTTGTAAGACATAAAACAAGCCCCACATTTATTATACCAGCTAACAGTGACACAACATCAGCTAACCTGACATATTATTATATACGGAAAATCTCAAACATAACATTTTGGACGTGGACGTGACAGGAGACTTATGTGACATAGACCACCTAAGTATGTCTTTTAAATATGACTTAAGAAAAACAGACATAGAAAAAGTTAACCGTGACTTAATAGCATTTATAAATGCTCTTAAAACAAATTCTATTAACATAGATGAAATAAATCAATTCCATCAACGTTTTTCCCAATCCATAATCACACACACTATACCAACTCTAGTTTACACAAGACAAGGTCTATACCAACTCTAATTTACAACAACAAGGAGCTGATTACGGGCATAGAAAAGTGCAACGCCATGGCACTACATTTGCAAGCCGCATTCACACCAGAAGATACTCCGCTATTCAACAAAGATCATCATAAATTCGTAGAAAACTGGTACCACGAATTCTCAACATTCACGTTAGTCAATAACTTAATTCCTGAAATTAACGAAGAAGAATATAAACTACATATCTTCAAAGGTAAAAATTCCGCTCCAGGTTATGATTTTATAAATAAGACGGCCCTAAGAAAATTAAACCAAAAGGTCCACAACCACATACGTAAAATCCTAAATTATTGCTTACAAGTACAATTTTTCCCGTCTTTATGGAAATATTGAAAGATCATAACAATTCCTAAACCCAATTCCAATCCTTCGAACCCTAAGAATTACCGTCCCATCACAGTCCTTTCCGTAATTGGAAAAGTATATGAAAGCATCATCAACTCAAGAATTCTAAACGCTATAAATTCTAAAATTCCAATGTACCAATTCGGATTCAAACATCAAAATTCCACCACGCACTCTCTATCTATCCTATATAATAACATCGAAACAAAGCATCTATTGAAGAAACATACAGCAATAGTTTTTCTGAACATCAATAAAGCATTCGACAGCGTGTGGCACAAAGGATTAATTTACAAAATGAACCTACTCAACGTGGATATACACATTATAAAAATCATAGACCACTTCCTAAAAACCGACAAATTAAAATCTAAATAAATATAACATGCTCAGACATTTACTCCCCAGATCCTTCATTCTTAGATTTAAGATGTTATGTACTACAATACGCAGACGACACCACGTTGATTACACACGAAAAAAACATGAAAGAAGCAATCAACAACATGCAAGTACTTTACAACAAAACATTAGCGTGGTTGTACAAATGGAAACTACAGCCCAACCCATCCTAATTCCTTATCACAACCTCAACGAAAATTCCCCATATATCCTTAAAGAACAAGGCTAACTGAAACCCTCAGCAAATATTAAATACCTAGGAATATCTCTGGACAAATGACTACGACTACAAAAACATTTCAAGGAAAAGCAACTAGAAATAATTAAAAGAGCTAAATACTTCCGCCACCCAAACAACTCACTACAAAAGATACGTAACAAAGTTTTATACGAACGAACAAACATTACTCCCATCACAGAGAGACTCAAAATCTTAAGACAAAAGTTTTCTGACAATTCATTTAAGTAGACCAAACGACCACAAAAGAAGTTTATTTGAAAAACTTTTTGGATCAGAAGAAGGCTCTCCATAAATTTAAATATGTGCATATAATTCTTGTTAATAAAATGTAATTTACGTTTTTAGGCGAAAAGACCTACTACGGTAGGTCGATAGCCAAAAAAGGATATTTTCTCTCTCTTTAAAAGAATTAATTTTCGGTTTAACACAATACTTTTGAATAAATGTGTAGACAAAAACGTACATTTGGAGTGTGTATGTTCATATACAAACAATCTTCTTGCCCAACTATTTTTTTATTTGAATCGAGTTGAACACATTGCGGCATGTCAATTTCTGCTTCTAAAATTCCATCCCATTTTTCTGCTGGTTGTGGATCCTATATTAAAAATGTCACAGAAATAAATAATACCTTGTTATATTAAAGGTATTTATACTACGTAGATAATTTTCTACAAGAATGTAAAACATTTTTACTTGTACAAAATCATTTCTTATCAGCTTAATAATAAATAACTTTTTAATTATTTTTATAACCTTTCTCATCAACATTTATAAATAAAGAAAAATATTATATTATATATTTTTACATTTATGCTTTAATTATAAAAACAACCTTTTTTGTGTCTTGTATTTTCATTGATTTTTCCTAATGTAAAGTGTGTCAAGTGATTGGGTCAATAGGTGTAATTAAGACCCATGTTCCTACCAATAAAAATGATTTATTATGTCATTAACTTTTATTTTTTCAGTACAAGTGTTTATTTCCTCTCCCCAAATTTGTTAACTAAATCTCATGCTAATTCTATTTCATTTTAGTTCTTACCTTAAATCTACGTTCTCCAATTGGTGGTTTCGCATAAGGAACTTTTAAAAAACTATAAAATCTTCCTCCTTTCCAATCTTTTTTCACAACTCCCCGTATTTTCCCCTGTTCAATTTCGATTAATGGTGATCGATTACATGTTACAAACGCCGGTAATAACAGCACAATACTGAGGATATATTTGGATATCATGACTCTTCAATGTCTTCTGGTAATCTAACGGATTCTTAACAGTTTAAACCTCGCTCGTAACTGGTTATCGCAACTCTGTTTTATTTTTATCTATTTAATACTATACTTATTAAACTCACCGTCGCGTCGACCGTTATGTTTGAATTTATTTTATTTGTATATGTATATTCTTGAATCGTTTTAACTAAAGCTTACTTTCTTATCAACTGTATTTCCATTCGAATTTAGAATAACTAATGGAATACTTCAAATTTAACGAGCAGAGTTTATTTTAATTTTCAAATTGTTTGAAATGGTTATTTTATTATTTTGAATGCTTGTTTGTTTTTTAAAACAATCTTATCTTAGAACACGTAATCGCAATTTTTGTGGAAAGATAAATTTAAAAAAGAGACCACCAATCGCGTTTGGAAACGTGTAGGTTGTAAAATTAACCTGTCTCAAAATTAAAAGTAACCAAGATTAAATAAATAAATCGTTACAATTTAAGAATAAGGTCGCATAATTAACCGAAGACAACAACATCTAGAAGTTCCTACAACATCGTCTTTCTAATAGTTTTTATTAGAATGAAGAAATACTATTTGGAAGGAAATAATATCGGGAATATGGAACGAAATTCTCTTTCTTGTTGCTCAACTTGCGCTTCAGCCTTGTCCATCCTATCTTATATTTTCTCGCAATTTCTGGCTTTTACACTTAATTTGTGAGGACCCTTAACTTTCTTGATGCGTTGTTGGGGTGTTGAAAAGATATACATAATCCGCGTCTTCTTGGCCTACTTGGAACACCATTAATCGAACATCAAGTCGAACGAAACACGGATATTGTCCTCCTCGGCCTTGATATCTAAAATATTAACCCTAAACCAGTACAAAGAATGATCATAATTACAGGTGATTTGGAATATCTGCCCAGTAATCCTTAAAAAACCACAAGACACCAGGAGAAGATAAAATTGTAGCGGAACTCTTAAAGTATGGAGGGAAAGCACTAAAAGAAGAGATATTCGTCTGCTTGGTGAAGTATGGGAGCGAGAGCAAATGCCTAGTAGGTGAGGTGTGAGCATGATATTCTCGGTGCATAAGAAACGATCAAAAATTACATCCGTAGTGTGATAAAGGTGTCCGAAAGCGTCTCGAGAGAGAGAGCTTGTGGTGAGCCTTGGCGTCAGGCAAGGAGATGCCTTATACTGTACGTCGTTCAACCTGACTCTAAAAAGAGTCATCAGGATCATCAAAATATATGGTCATGTCTAGAGGAAGGACTGGGATACGGCGACCATACCCTGGCGGCATAATATATTCGGTTGAAAACAAGGTATAATTTAAATATCATTTAATATTGTATAATTGGGCTGGAGATCATATTTTAGTCTCTACCACCTGCTAAGGTCGCGGCTACTGCTTAGAAATACAAAGACACTCTTGCGTTCACTAGTTATGTACGCCTGACATGGGTACTAACTAAAAAGGACGAGCGATGCTTGGACATGTGGGAAAGAAAAATTGTTAAGCAACTTTATGGCCCCATTCGGGATGATGATTTGTGGCGGATCCACCGAAACGTGCAGACGATAGTTGGACGACATGGACGCTGACCTGAGGAAGCTGGGATTGAGTGGATGGAGGCATGTGTGTGAACTTGGCTCAGCTTCTACAAAATTTTAAAAAATTAATCACAGTTCTGATAGCCCCTAAAAAGTTCTAGAGTTCTCTGTAGAAATAAAAAATAGTTCCGTTCATTAGCATGGTCAAAACAGCAAATAAAAAGATGGGGAGGCTAACTTCACGACTCGCTCGCAAATTACGAAAGCTTTAACGACTAGAACTTTCTTAACTGAATTCATAGCTCAAAATCTTAATAAGAATAATCGATGGAACTCTTTGCGGACCACTGGTGTTCGAGTTGAATAATTGTTACCTAATATTTTTCAATAGATTTTTGGTTTACCTCATTTGATTTTCTAATCTTAGCATAATCCACAAACAAAATTTTTCAGAGGCGTTGCTAAAAGTTTTGCACACAGGCGCCACTAACACTTAGCGCGGTCCTGTTCCTAATTCCATTTTCCTTTTGATCCTTCATAGGTACTAACACCAATACATGACGCACTTTTATAGTCTTACACACAGCATATATCTACCAATGATTTTGCGAGAACTAAACGCATTAAATTGCCATCACGTATTCTTTCTCGCTTGGTGTCATAAAGAAACTGTTCCTTCTACTGTTAATTCCTTTTAGCCGTTGAAGAAGCTTTTATCACTCCGCCTTGCAGTCGTAGATAATGAGATCAATTCATCGCTCTGTAACCATACATTGAATCAGTAATCCATATGCACTCCACCTGCCAATTCACACACCATTTCACAATCTCGTATCGTTGATAGATCCATTACGTACCATCCATTCGCGAGACAATAGAACGAGAGAACATAAAAACAAATGAACAAAAATAAATAAGTGGGACAGAAGTTACAAAACAAGTAATAGTGTTAAGAATGCTGCATTCAGCATTCTTTGTACTCTTGATTATTAATAATTACTATTGTTCAATTTACGTGCGACGATAGCAACAAACCTCCCAGCAATAAACTTTTACTAGTAATTTTCTATCTACTTTCTTAGCTGATATCTTCCTTATTATTAGAGGATAGCGAAAAACTAAATACACTACTTGAAAGCTTGAATCTTTCTCTATCTAAAACCAGTAACTCTATTAGTATGGGATGTAATCACAAAGTCTCCTGATTTTCCAGCGTATGATACGCTGGTGAGGAAAAAAGTGGGGTTGCCATTTAAAAAATAGTATATTACAGTATAAGTGAGAAAACTATGATTTTTCATTAACGCGTATGTCGGATTTCAACACGAGCCAAAGGCGAGTGTGGAAAGACATACAAGTTAGTGGAAAATATAAGTTTCTCACGTGTGCTGTATAGCGTTTTGTTCAATCCTACTATTTAGAGAAAACCCTTCTTAAAATTCGATAATTCCTGAGCAATTTCATGTAGACATGTCGGCGACGACAGCAGTTTTTGACAGTGTCATAGATTGTCATGCTTTTAATTGATATATATATGTAAACCATTTGTGTCAAATCGTCATCATTATGCATAAAATTAATAAATTGATTAAAATTAATACTTTATAGAAGTGAAATACTTAATTAACTTTCCACATATGCTGTCCACTGTTTTTTAGTTAACATCCGTTACGTTTAAACAAAGAGTTCTTCCTTTAAAGGTTTTATATTTAGCTGACAGTGGTTGAAAAAATTTTCACTCACTCGTTTCTATGAAAATCAGCAGAGTGAATGCATATAACAACTTTCAACACTCGTATCCACGTTAGAAACTGTCAATTTCGAAGGTAGAATTGAACATATTAACTTTTCGAGATGTAAATTTTTTTTATTATTTTTATTAATAATTGTTGTTAAATTAAAGTGTATATTTGTTATTAAAAAACACCATTAAAAAGAACAGAACATTTTCGATAAGATAGATAGGTTCTAGAGCTTTCTCCTGGTCATATGAAAAAGTTATCCACCCGAACAAGGTTTAAAAATGGCTAAAACGTTAGCATTCAGCAGTTTTTAACCAAAAACGTACTTGTGCAAGCGCGTGATCGTCGCGCGTTATACATCATTAGAAAAAACAGGAAATTTTCGATAAGATTTAATAAGCTCTAAAGTTTTCTCCTGATCATATAAGAAAGTTATCGAACAAGGTTTAAAAATGGTTAAAACGTATGAATTTAACAGTTTTTGGCCAAAAATGTACTTATGCAAACGCGTGATCGCCGCTGTTATGCCATTAAAAAGAGCACAAAATTTATAGTTTATAGTTATAGTTTCCCCCTATCAAATAAGAAAGTTGTTTTTTCAGTTTTTTAAAATGCGGTTTTATAACAATTGCACAAGGCCTTGAAGTTTGGTAATTTTGAGCTATTTTAAGTTCAGGGCGGTGTTCTTCATTTTTTTATTGATCTTAACATCAACTTGCCAGTTTTAGATAGAGAAAGATTGAAGCTTTCAAGTGGTGCATTTAGTTTTAGGCGCTATCTCTAATAATAAGGAAGATATCAGCTAAGAAAGTAGATAGGAAATTACGGGTAAAAGTTTGTTGCTATCGTCGCACTGTTGTTCAATTTATAATATGTTCTTCAGACGTCTCTTCATTAGTTTACACTTCTTCTCGATGATCATCGCAAATAACTTGTCCTAATAACTTATTCTAGATATTATAACAAAAGGATAGAGGACACATGATGTCACTGTTGTCAATTTAACACGGTTATACACGATTATGCATGTGTTTTATTGTGCGTGGTGCATAATGTACACTTGCACATGTAGTTAAACTTTCCCTTAACCACCATTAATATTCCTTAACCATTTCTTCACATTTTTTCCTTTTTAATCTGTCAAACTACTATTCTATTGCCCCTCTAGTTTATTCGAATGATAAGATTAAGCACTATTAAATAACAAGTTAAGTTAAATTGATGGTTTTCCTTGTTAAATTGTTACCACATTCTCGCAAGTTTATCGGCGCTTGCTCCAATTTTTGACCATATTAATCGTATAAGTATAAATTCACGCTGAAGTATTCACTATTGGATATTGTGTCAGTGGGAAAACACCGGTGAAAATACCACTCGATTCCACACCGTTCAAAGGAATTAGGAATATCGCAAACCACATCGACAAGCAAGTTAAATCATCTTCAGTGATGAAGCTCGTTTTTGGTTCAACTTGTTTCACCGGCTTCCAAAGAAAAGATATCCATAAAACCACCTGGATATTACCTGACGGTCAAACATAAAATCAAATTGAATTAAAGAAAATGGAAATACAAAAAGCTTTAAATTTCTAAATCGAACGTTTAACACAGGATGAAACCTCAGTAAAACTTGATATAAAAGTGAATAGTGCACTGGAGCCACGACAAAAAGCCTTAAATTTCTAAATTGAACGTTTAACACAGGATGAAACTTTAGTAAAACTTGATATAAAACTGAATAGTGCACTAAATTCCTCGTTGAACAGCCACTCAACGAGGAATGTAAACAAACCACCGATATAAATAATAACGCATATAATACTGATGTAGAATATAAGAACGCAACAACACATAACACAACATACAACTATCATAACAAGAGAAGATAAGAAAAACGAATACATAGAAGAAGCTAGAATAGGTGATAACCAAATGCAAGGTATCGATTATGCACATCCGGATGAAAAAATAGATTCTGTCTCTTTTCCCACAACAGTATTGAATTATATTGGGTACTACCTATATCTTGTTGGAATCTCTATGGCTGTGTCTATGTAGAAGGTAGACATCTCTTATGTGCCAATTTCATAGTATTTCCAATATTTTCAATAGAAATGAGTTTACCTAACCTTTTAGATCGTGTGGACAGACATATTTCTGAATCCTAAATTCCTAATTTTGCCTTATCACCCAAACTGTTTGCTCCCGCTATCTAAAAAAGATATAAAATAGAACTATATATCAAGTCATTAGAGATTTCAGCAAAATATTCAGTAAACCTATTCTTGCTAAGGTATCTTGCAAGAACAACATTTGAAGCATACCATGGTATATTTCTATTTTATACGTTTTTTGGATATGTTTTGTTCTTGAATATAACATCTTCGATTTATACAGAAGTCTGTTGTTACTTCAGTACACCATTTTAAGTTGCACATAGTCTCCATTTCTATAGAACATCTGCATCTCCATTCGTTCTATGGATTTATTCTAAATCATTATATAAATATGGAATAATGAAGAGTTGAATTTAAATTACACTTTCCCACAGTAGCATTCTAGAAGTCACGAATTGCTTCATTATGTATACCAAATAATTATCAACTCATTTACAATCATAAACCAAAAATATTCAGAAAACCACACCGTATTAAATTAGTTTGCAGGTAGGTATTGAGAGTCAATGTATTGTAATATAGTGCTTTTGGAACGTCTAAAACCATACTGGCTCTCATCCAACAAACCCAGTGCAGTTCAAACATTAATAGCCGTTCTATTAGAATTTTATCGATCATATTCATCAGTGTAGAACCCAGTCTTATCGGCTGAACACCCTCACTTGGCTTAGACAACGGCGGAATTCAACAGACCACCTATTCGTATTACAACTATGTTTTCCATATTATTTTCAACCATATTCTTTTTTGTCATAATGAGCTTCACACCCTTTCATCGAAACGCGTTAATCTGATATAGCCTTTAAGTGACATCCGCTATATGCAATCTCATGATCCCTATAAACGTGTGTGTGAAGTTGGAGGCGTCAACTACTCTACAGGAAGAACAGGAGAGGAATGGTGAGCGAGGTAGGGTTCATTATATCGTCTATACGTTTAATTATTCGAAATTCTTGTTTTGTGTAATGTACAAAATTTGTATCTGGCAAAACATCGCTATGAGAAACGCTGTGGAGTTAAAATAGTTTTATTGAGATATAGAAACTTGGCATTTATAAAGGCAAGTGCTGTTTTTACGTATTGTTCAAATATATCCAGTTGTTAGGGAATGCATTGAGATGATATTACCTTAATTTAATATTCTATCGAAATTTATTGATGTTGCAATTTCGTAACAAGGTGTAGTGCGGTGTTGTTCATAAGCACGGGCCTGTTTTGATGATAATTGGGGGTGATTTGGTACTATATTGAAGCGATCTCTTAACTTATACTTTAATAATAATTATTCTGCAAGTAATGCATGGTATGAAATAATATTATTGTTTCAATTTGTAAAATATGGATATATCGAAAGGAACATAACTAGAAGAAGTCCCTCAAAGATGTCGTTAATTTGCAATTATTCTTACAGCTATCTTTGATTGTATTTTTGGAGTTTCAACTCCTGCTTGATTTGCAAGATTTAAAACTTGCACCAAAAGATATCTAAACTGTGACATTTCTAGTTATTTGTGCGGTATTACCCGTATTGATAAAACTTGTAAAATAATTTAGAGATTTACTTAACGATTTATTTACTAAAAATGCTACATTTATAATTATTATGTCATACATTTGATTCAATTGAAGCTAATTATTTTCTTGTTGTGTAGCAATTTCGGATGGAATTGTACTTACATCGATAAGATTTAATGAAACATCCGTTATATTTTCATAATTTGTGGTAAAATCAGCATCAACATCGCTATCTGAACCTGAATTTTCACTCAAAATTTCTCCACTTCCATCCCCAGAAAACATTTTATACCCATTAAGCATCAATCTATTACATTTTACCTCCTCATGGTTCTCATTTACATCTTGAAATTGTTTTTTGGCAAATATTTTTTCGCTAAAATATTCCGACCCAAATCTTTTATAAATGCCATCCCAAAAATCCATTCTTTTAAATGGATTAACACCAATTTTCATTGATTCCGTTTTAAAATCTAAATAATTAAATTTTTCCGTAACATTAGTCCAATAATTGTATTTGAGAGTTGGATGACCAGTTTTTGCAAAATTAACGAATAACCCAATAAATCTTTCCAAACACTTCGCCTCTTTAGAATCAGGGTTAGATGTTGATGGGGATTTTGACGCCCTGAAAAGGTACCCAATATCATCATAATGAGAGGCTCCTTGAACTTTCGCCGTTTCAGGATTAGAAAATTTAAATAAATTTAATCGGGTACTCGCTGAAAATTTATAAAGATACATTTCTTTATGATCAGCTTCGAGATGTTTCTTTACGGTAACGTAAACAAAATAATTCATGAATAAATCGTCCAAAAGTTCTCGATATTCCCTCGTTCTCACTTCAAAGCTTTGTAATTTATACGCTTGAGAAATTTCTTCCAGCACAAGCATTTGAGTGAATCGATTGAGTTGTAATGTATACGGAATAATTTGATTAATTTCGAGTGAATTTATCATCCCGGTTGTTTTTAAGTCAATAATATCGTAAAATAAAGATGGTTTATTTGTTGCTCCTAGTATAAAGGGACATTTTTTAAATGCACCTTTCGTTAATATTAAAAACGGCGATTCTGATAGAAATATTGTTCCGTTGTGTTCCGATTCAATAATTGGACCGATTAAACGCTTATGATTAAACGCCAACTGTAATAAATCATAAAATTAAATTAACTTAATATTTACATATTAATATTTTCCCAAGCTAAACGATTTAATTAAATTTCGAAATGTCAAGAATGAAATGTGTTTATTGGGGGGTTTAAATTCATTTTCAAATATTTAGAAAAACAACCCAACAATAAACAACGCGTAAAACGAGACTATTACGGACAAGATGAAATGTATTTTTAACTGATTAGTTAATAAGTTATTATTAGGTAATGAACTGGAGACTGATAGTGTGAAAACTAAGTTAAAGGTGGAAGTGACCTTAAGTGCGGCGTAGATGGTAATGGGAAGTCTAATATAAACGGAGAAAAAGAAAGAGGAAAAGAGGATAAACTATTAGAATTGGATATCAAAAGATGTTGATGAATGGAAATGGTACCAAAGGGACGGCAGAAGTGAAATGTAAAGGAACGCTAATAAACAGTAATTGGAAAAACTTGTTATAAATAAGACAGAGGTTGGACACAAAATGAGGTACAAGGCATAGGAAAAAGCAAAGTGGAAATAGCGAGTGATATAAAACATATAATTAAGTAAGGTCAGGGCCGCATTTTGAGCAAACATAAGAAAATTTAAAAAACAAAAAATACAGATTCACATTTTGTTGAAATTAAGCAGAATTGACTGTATACACAAATAAAATGAAAATACTTTTAAAGATACAGATTGTTTATGTACATATATGAATGATGTGCAGAGTAGACCACCGCAAGGAACGCCATGCAAGCATAAACACGAAACACGATATGTATATTTTTTTCTAAATTTTATTGCTTTAGTGCATTTCGGATAAAAACTGATTCATCGTACGTTTTTTATTTTTCCAGTTCACCATTCATTATGGTATCGTAAACTCCGAATTGTTGCTAGTTAAAAATGTTTAAAAATATTTATAAATAGTACTTGAATAATATATAGGGTATATCTGAAAAATATTCCCAAGCTTTAGGGGTGATTCTTTAGTGAATTTTAAGGATATTTTTATATATGAACTATTGGCGAATTCGTTCAAACACTCGTTCAAAAATGGTGAAAAATTTTGATTATATTTTTTTCTCGAAAACTATCAACACTAGGAAAATGAATATAAGAAGATAAAAGAGGACTCAACCGAGAAGATAGGAAGGAAGATGAAAGAACTGGTAAAATCCACAGGAATCCTACCAGAACAGCAGAAAAGCTTATTCGTACAGGCCCAATACCCCCAAAGATACATGGATTACCAAAAATCCATAAATCAGAGGTTCCACTACGCCCTATTGCCATAAATTGTCCCACCTATCAGCTAGCAAAACACCTTGCGAAGATTCTGTCTCCTTTTACAGGTAAAACAGAGTCATATGTCAGAGATTTCACACATTTTGTAGAATCAATCAGGAGTATGAAGCTAGACCCTCAGGATATTTTGATACGTTTCGACGTGAAATCTCTATTCACCAGAGTACCAGTCAAAGATGCCGTGGATGCTCTTCATCAGAAACTCATCCCAGAGGGTTTGCTAAAGTATGTCCCAGGACTAGTGGAGAACTGCGAGAAAATCGTCGACATATTCCGAAGCTATAGCTCCGTTACGTCGATACACTTTCGTGATCTGGCAATATGGCAAAGTGCAACTCCAGGAATTTCTAGACCACCTCAATTCACAGCACCCCATGATAAAATTTACCATGGAAACAAAAACTGTAAAACAGTTGCCATTCCTGGATGTGTTGGTCACTAGGAAGACAGATGGGGACATGGAACTAGGAGTATATCGAAAGAAGACGCATACGACCACAACAGAAGAGGTCCGTGATTCAAGCATTATTCCAACGAACAGAGAGGTACTAAAGAGAACTTGAGGAAAGAAGAAAGATTCCTAGAAGATGTACTGCAGAAGCACTGCTATACAATGAGGGATATCCAACGAGCCACCAAACCACGCAAACAGAAGAATGATTCGGTAAGTACGACACCAACCGGTTTTATCTGCCTTCCTTATGTTTCAGGTATGACGGAGCGAATTGCGAGATGTCTGAAGAAGAATGATATCGTGGTGCGGTATGGTACGGCCAGCAAAATACAAAACGCTCTTTCGATAGCCAAAGACAAGCTAACCCCATTGAAGGGAGCAGGAGTCTATTGGCTATCTTCAGTTGCGGGAAATATTACGTTGGCCAAACTGGACGTAACATCGAATGCCGCATCAAGGAACACGAGAGGAATGTCCGACTGAGTAAAATCCCACAATCTGCAATCGCAGAGCTTTGCCACAAAGGAGGACACACCATAGAGTTTGACAAAACCAAAGTGCTAGTAAGAAACGGACAGCATTAGTAGCATTATTATATGGTATGAAATAAGAGGGAATACACGAGTAACCAAAAAAGAATCACAGGGAGAAATTATGGAAATAGAGGAATTGCAAACGAGGCATCATGGTTTCAATGTACATAAAAAGATTAAGGAATTAGCTGGGATTAAAAGGGCAAACAGAAACAGTGTTTTACTAAACAAAGATGGTAAGATAATCCCAGACACATAGGGGAAACTAGAAATGTGGAAGGAATACTTGAAGAGGAAACACAACCAAAGGACCAAAGGATGGCGAAAGAAGAAGTTATTAAAATTAATTGGAGATGAGCAGTGTTTTGGTGGACTTTTAAACACAACTTTTATAACAATTCGACATTAACTGTCAAAGAAAATGAACAAAGGGCGTTGTTTGCGTTTAATGTGATGATTCAAAGATGCATGGATATCAATCAATCTGTATATGTATGCTTCCTGGATTTTGGTAAAGCGATTGATAAGGTTTAGCACAATCATCTCATAAAGCTTCAAAGAGGAAACAGGATAGATAAGAATGATATTACAATAATAAAATACCTTTACTTTAATCAGCCGGTTAGATTATATATAGAGAACAAACTTTCAGAGGAAGTATAGATAAAACGAGGAGTTAGGCAAGGATGTGTTCTCTCGCCATTTTTGTTTATCATGTATTCAGAAGACATCCTACAGGAAGCATTGGCATAGCAAACAGCAATCGGAGTAAAAGTAAACAGGAAGGTATTCTACCTATAGCAGAATCATTGGTAGGACTGCAGAGACTAATGGATCGGGTAATGGAAAAAAGTGAAAATGTCTCATAGTGAATGCTAAGAAGACCAAATTTATGATTATCTTAAAGTTACAACAACAAGAACATCGGCGGATTACACGAGAGGTAGTAGAGAGGATCGTCAGGTACAAATACTTGAGAATAATTGTGAATGAGAACAATACGGAAGAAATAAGATCAAGAATTGAACAAGCTATAATTGTAGTCAACAAAATGATTACTGTATTATGTAGAAACGACCTTAGCCCACATCTCAAGATTAGAATGCTAAAATGCTACGCGTTTCCAGTGCTTTTATATGGTTTAGAAGTGTGGACATTTAAGCAGAATAATATCGACCAGCTTGAAGCCTTTGAGATGTGGTGTTATAGAAGAATCCTGAGAATAAGCTGGGTGAGTTGGAGATAAAAGAAAAATTGTTAACACAATTAAAATCAGAAAACTTCACTATTTTGGCCACGTGGCACGGTAGGAGAATTACTCACTTTTACTCACTATAATTCAAGCAAATGTGCATTTCCTCGATAAATAACCTAAAAGAGTGGTACAACAGTAGTCCAGTGGAATTGTATTGATCAGTGGAAGATAAAATAAATAAAGTTATCCAGAGCACTTCTAGAAACAGCGTGAACAGTGTGACATAGCGAAATTCACAACCGGACAATTTCATAACCAGAGAAGGCTTGAGACAAAGAAGAGTCATGAGTTCGTTCATGTTTACGGTATTAATGGATATATAATGAGGGAATGTCACAAAAGGCCAAGCAATGAGGTTGGGTTATACAAATTTAAGATTATTAATGGAATCAAGTACTAAAAGAATAAGGCATACGAATAAATAAGAAGAAAAGTAAAGTGATGGCGATAGAAAGAAGAGGAGAAGATTCGAGGAGGGATTTGAGAATCGAAATTGAGCACGAAGTATTAGAGCAGGTTCCACACTACAAATAGTTCGGAGTTGGAATCGATGAAACTGGAGAAAAGAAGAAAGATATAAGCAATGTAGGTATATGAAATGTCTAAGAAGAATAAAAATATAACAAAGTGAGACAATGTTAGAAATCAAGAGGGAGAGACAGAAGCTAAAGAACTGGCGATTGACAAAGGCGAATAGAATAGATTTATTTATATGTATTACCGAGATTAAATCTTCTTGCATTTCCATTATATCCGCGGCTTTAGTCCTCTGCAACTTCTTTAATATCATCGTTGGATATCTATCTCTATATCCTAATAATCGACCCAGAACCAACCCTGTATCTTTGCTACCCATCGACCAAGTATGAAGAGCAGTTCCGCTTAAAGCTATTGCTTGGTGAAATAAAGCTAAACATAAAAAAATAAACAACGTTTAAAGTTTTTATTTGGATTATTCGTACGTTGTGATATCGGTGACATCATGTGAAGGTGTACACTTGTTCCTCCAACATCCTGCCCGAAAATAGTGATTTTATTTGGATCACCACCAAATTTTGCAATGTTAGTTTTAACCCATTCCAAAGCCATTACTTGATCTTTTAACCCAGCATTACCAGGAACCCCAACGTTTGAGTTTTCAAAGTTAAGAAATCCTAAAGAAATCCTAATTTTATCGATTCTCTTTGTGAGTTTTGTGAATTTACCAAAAAATCCTAATCTATAATTAAAGCTAACTAATACGATTTCTTCCGCCATTAAATATTCCGGCCCTAACATTTCTGAACTTCCCGTGTTTCTTAAATAATCACCACCGTGAATAAAAACCATAACAGGTGCTTCTCCAATTAACTAAAAATAGTAGTAATAAATGTAATTATTTAGTAATAATTTAACTTTTACTCTGTATGTATGAACGTTTAAATATAAACAATCTTCTTTCCCTATTATTTCTTGATTTATGTTATGTTGAATGCATCGTGGCATATTTGTTGTGGCATCTCTTATTCCATCCCATTTTTCGGGGGGTAAAGGATCCTAAAATTAACAATAAAAAGCTTAAAAACTCTTTCAATAACTACTTTACTTTAAATCTAAGCTCTCTTATTGGTTTCTTAGCATAAGGAATATTTAAAAAACTAAAAAATTTTCCCCCTTTCCAATTTGTACTCATCATTCCTTTCAGCTTTCCTTGTTCCACCACCACAAAAGGTTGTGGAATTGAGTTTGTTTGATAATGATTTTCTCGTTGACATAATCCTATAATAGAAAAAATTTATTTTTAATATTAAAGAAATTTTTGTAACTTACCGAAGAAAATTTGGATGATAAATATAAAAATTCTCATTCCTAAAGCTTCTCATAATTTTACAAAAATGTTATAAATTAAAATTTTTCATGATGATTTAAATCTAAAATAAAATTTATGATTGAAATCAGAATTAACACTTCGTTTATTTTAGAGATTGTATTCAATAAATTACCTATACAAACGTTAAATTGTTTATTTATTTAATGCACAATTTAAATATTGGCCGAGAGAGGTGAGCGGAAACCAATAATTTGGCATTTTGCACTTAATATATTTATTGCAACCTGTAGGGCTAAATTTGTTCCCCAAATTGATATTAATTTATTGGTTTGCCAGTTATGACCCTACATCAATCGAAGGTGAAACATTGTTTTCGATATAATTGAAATTTCTAGGAAATTCAAAATTAATATGCAAACAATAATACTAATGAATTTTCCAGTTAATTGTCGTCAAAGGTTTTAACTAATTGAAGAATTTATAAATGAATGCATAACAAATTACAAATTAAGGGACATTGCTCAACAATAGATCGTGTGGCAGGAATATAAACAATACATTTTGCAATCAATTCTTTTAATATCCTTGTTTCCGAAATGTTTTCCTTTAAATGAAGGAAGACATAGAAGAACAAATAAATATACCTACCAAAGCATCAATGTATATCAAAAATAAATACTTCAAAGATAATAGAAGGAAACACAAATTATGGATGACGGAGAAAAACTTGATGATCATGGAAGAACAATGGATGCAAAATAACAATCCACCGGTATTAAAAGCATATAGGATGACATACAAAGAAGAATTCGTGAAGCTCAATGAAAGGAGTTAGATGAAATGCCATGATATCGAGGTTTTGTTAGATAAATTTGATGTATTCAATGTGGAAAAGAATGGGGAGACAGGTTACGGGAACGTTTAGGGAAAAAAACTGTGAGAAAATTTGTAAATGATGCGGCAGAATTGATTATGGATAGAGAAAACTTTCATTATCCATCATGACAGATGAAGTTAAAGTTAACCAGGCGGAATGTACTCAGAATCAAGCTTCTTGGCGATAGATTCATTTAATTCTTGACTGACATGTTTAACAACTTACATAATACTGGAAATATCCCAAATGAATAGCTCATCTCTGAGTTCATACTGCAGCTAGAGAAACAGCGAGCTAAGGTATGTAGTGACTACAGAACCATCAGCATCACTAGTCGCATGTTAAAGCTATTTCTAAAAATCAGTCATCGTAGAACACACAGACGATGCGAAGAACAAATATTAGACATGCAGTTTAGGTTTATGAAAGGAGTGATGGTCTGTTCTGCCTACAAGTGTTATTTCAGCGCTGCAGAGATATGAAGTGTGACATTTCAGCCTGCTGTGTTGACTACATGAAGGTATTCGACAAGGTACGACACGGAAAGGTGATGGAAGATTTTAGGATCACACGAAATCTCTACTGGAATCAGTTAGCTACCATTAAGATCAATGCAGAAAAAGCACAGCAACGCAGTAAAAATTCTCCGAAGCGTCAGAGATGGCTGCATTATTCCTCCACTTTTATTCAACCTCTACTCAGAGGAAATATTCAATTATGCCATTGACAAAACTAATCCCATGCCAACGATACAGTGGTGTTCACTGACAGCAGAAAAGGATTACAAGAATAAATAAATTCGCCTAAGAGATTAATATTAGCAAGACTAATTTTATGGCAATTAGTAAATAGACAATTAGAAGGTACGATTTAATGGTCAGCATTTAACAGCACGCCAATAGAGAGGCTACACAATTTGCCTTCCTGGGCACAAGGTGCAGAAGTCCAAAAGTCACAACCTCAGCATCGATATCAAAATCAGACTCTTCAAATGTTACGTTTTCTGGGTGCATTTATGTGGGGTGGAATTGAGACAAACAATAATAACAACAATAATAAGACTCCAATGTTTCGAAATGTGGCTCTATAGAAAAGTACTGAGGATTTCACGAGTGGATAGAGTATCTAACAGGGCAGTAATGGAGCGAAATGAGAAAACTGGAATATCTTTGACATATTATGAGAAACAGATAGAAATACATATCGTCTTATAAGAATCGTCCTCCAAGAGAAAGTGTGCGGTAGAAGAGGGCTCAAAAACTACCACCGAATTATTCAGAGCAGTCGTGAATAAAGTTATATTTAGAATGATCGCCAATATTCGACACGATACGTTCAAGACATTAAAGAAATGATCAAGCTAAAGGGAGGGCAAGCGTACCAGACGAGTGAAAACATGCACACATAAGCCCTATCCATAAAAAGAGTGACAGGAGAAATTTTGAAAATTATAGAGGGATTATTGTTACTAGATTATTACTACTTAGATTGGTAGGTTGTACGGGTGTATATTAACGACAAGGATGGAAGATGAATTTGAAAGTGATTTTGGGGCGGGTAGATCATTTGGAAAACATATTATGTTTGACAATTAACAGAAAAACACTATGCCAGGAATTGGGAAAAACATTTAGGTTTGTGACAGTTTCTTACATAGATGCTGTCTATTGCCTACCCTGTTTAACATACAGTGCTAGCGTAAAGTAACCCCCCCCCTGTTTAACTTCTGAACAGATTGAGATATCAATATGAACAAAAAAACGTCAGTTTCTATATTTTATCAGCACAAATATTTTCTTATGGAAAATTTTGCTATCACTTTTAGTTTTTCCGGAAAATGGATCAGCTTTGTTTTTTTAAATGGAACACCCAGTATATTATGGTATCTTTCGAAAGAATAAAACAATACGAATTCAACGATACCTCACAATCAAATATAGGTTTATTAGTTTTTGACATAAAAATTAAACAAAATGCGGAATTTCGCCGGAAAAACCAACGTATCTTCGTTGACTACCTGTCGAGATACAATGAGCCAGATAAATGGTGGACGGTCAGTTAAAGGTCGGTCTACGCTCGGATTAAGCAGGGTTAAAATCAGCAATTCTTTTAGAATGTTTTTATGAAACAATCAATACAAGAAAAGGTTAAAAAGAAAGTTCTTTTTAAAACTTCTAAGAAAAAATTGTCATAACAACAATTTTAAAGTTTGTAGGTACTTTGAAATTTTGTACTTAAGGCAGCATGCAAATATTTTCCTTCATTTCAAAGAAAGGCGAGATCAAAATGGCTAGAAGGAGTTTAGAGCACAAAATCGAAGCAATTTTAATATTCGCTCGTGCTGACAGAAATCTACATGAAACTGAGCGACAATTTAAGGAACGATTTCCTGAACATCCAATTAGTCGAAAATATTTAAAAGAACTTGTGAATAGGTTTTTGAAAACTGGACCGCAAAAGAACTGGTCGTGAGATATTAACAGAAGTAGCTAATGCGCCCATGATGTTGTCTGCTGCTATCGCATCAACGTGTGATGTGTTAAATATTTCCGCGTCGTTGTTGGACTACGTGGAAATACTTAAAAAAGAATAAATATCATCCATTTTAAATAAAAATGCTTCATGAATTAACAGAAGATGACCCTGATATAGAAGAACAGAATTTTGTGAGCTAATGACAAATATGGTTGAACGAAATCGATTATACTTGAAACATATTTGTTTCAGTGACGAATGTACTTTCTTTTTGGGTGGAAAATTGCACCGGCGTGATGTTAATCCACATGAATATCGTGAAGTTATCACTAGATTTCCCTAGAAAGTAAATGTTTTTTTTTTTCAAGACTTTTGCTAATTGTACAACAGAATCCTGACGACTTTGAAATGGAATTAGTGTTTCATCAAGACGGAGCACCTCCACATTATGCGCCAATGGTACGAAATTATCTTGATAAAAATTTTAATGGACAGCAAGATCACCAGATCTGACACCTTTAGATTTCTTTTTATGGGGTTATTTAAAATCCAAGGTATATGAAATTCCGTTGGGTATTGAAGATTTAAAACAAAAAATTATTGACGTCTGCCAAAATATTGATCATCACATGTTAAGCCGTGTGAGAGAGGAAACACTACCAAGATGGTGCCACTGCCTAGAAGTTCAGGGTAATCATATCGAACAATTTACTTAATAGTTGATTCTTAATAAATAAAAAATTCTTTTATTATTCAATAACAACACTAAGGCCCACTTTTACCATCTTCCTGATAAACTATCTAGAGGATAGTTGCCATGGTTACGGCGGTTTTAAGCACTCTCATTGGCTAAGAGCTGTATTTACCTATCGGATAAATTTATCAAGAGGTGGTAAAAGTGGGCCTAAGCCAATTTTTCAACCGTTACCTATACTAGCAAAATCTTTATTAAGAAAATTGCATTTCTTATATTGACTTTTTTTCTTTATAAATTTAATATTTTTTGATAAAATATGATTAATTCATAAATTTAATATACTTCCACCCAATTTTTATTTCATTTCTAAAAAAAATAAGTAATTGAAGTTGCAATTTTAAATCCGTCTTAGCTCCAGCGTATACCGACCAATTAACCCACCGTCCACCATTTACCTGGCCGATTGTATTTCGACAGGTAGTCCACGAAGATACGTTGGTTTTTCCGGCGAAATTCCGCATTTTGTTTAATTTTTATGCGAAAAACTAATAAACCGATATTTGATTGTGAAGTACCGTTGGATTCGTATTGTTTTCATCTTTCGGAAGATACCATAATATACTGGGTGTTCCATTTAAAAAAACAAAGTTGTTCTATTTTCCGGAAAAACTAAAAGTGATGGAAAAATTTTCCATAAGAAAATATTTGTGCTGATAAAATATAGAAACTGACGTTTTTTTGTTCATCTTTATATCTCAATCTGTTCGGAAGTTAAACAGGGGGGGGGTTACTTTACGCTAGCACTGTATATTATATCCTATGTATTCAAACATTGGACTGGGAAATGCTCGAATATGGGAATACAGATAAACTGTTCGTAGGCGACTATGTCGTTTAGTTGCAGATGAAGAATATGTAGCACACATAACCAGGAAACTTAAAAGCGATGACGACTGGACAATTATCCACGCAGGAAACTTTAATGTGATATTCTATGTAACATTATGTTCTAACACAGTGAAACATTACAGTAATAAAACAAGCCACCAATATTTTGGGGTGTTAAGTTTAAGATTTAGTTGTATAAACAAAAGCGAAGTAGGTTGAATGACGATGTAAATATAACAAAACACCACTCAGTTGTTCTGTCAAAGCAATATTCCATTCATCAAACCTTAATAAAAAATGTAACCCAACATGGGGTATTCATTATTAAACCATTGGAGTAAGAACAATTTTAGGATCACAAGGTTTTACTCAATACTATATTATGAGAAAGTAGGTAACCCTGTAGCAATGTAATATATATGTATAAGATAATATGGTGTAATATAATGTAACATTAGGTAATTAATTTAATCATCTGCATTATAATGTAATCAACATTGTTTGTATTATATCGAATTCTATACTTAAAATTTAAAAATTCAACGAATAAATAATTTTTTAATTCACGAAAGGTGAAATAGAACATCAATGAAAATAAGTCTGATTTTATAATGAATGGAGTTTTTATGGGCACTCATGAGTCATCTCAAACAATATTTAAAAATATCAATGACATTTCTCCAAATCCGAAATTTATTGTTGTGAAATTATGACTGTTAATGACAAATTATTTTTATACACCCGTGCTTATATTAATACTCGGAAATGTTTTATCGATAAGACATGTTTATAGAATGATTGCAAATAATCGCCACCTGTACATTACGGGATAGAGTCTAAATACTCCTGATAATATTATCGGAAATAGCCGAGGTTAAACGAATGTAATAATATAAAAGGAAAGTGAAGTATAATGACGAGATTGTCGTACGTATAGTACACAAACGAAAATATCGCTGGCAATCGATTTAACTGTCTCAGCTTATAATTAAACTGTCCGAGAGATCGTGGATAGTTCACGACTAGCTCTCGCAATAGTTTCAACAAGTCTAAATCATATGTGTTATTTTTTTCCTATTCTCATATCTAAAAGATCAAGTGAATATTTTTATAAAAAATGTCTGAGAATGGAAATGAAAATATAAATGAAGAGGTGGATTCGTATCCACCTTGGAATTTTTCTTGGGTGGTTGACAATAAATTAGCCGCCATGGCTTGGCCTCAAAACAAAGAAAATCTCCGCTACATCTATGAAGAAGGGGTTCGTCACCTCGTCACTTTATCCCCGGAGAAACTACCCCCAATCGAACAATTTCCACAGCTCGAATGGACTAGTATTCCTATTGAAGAATTCGGAGCGCCCACCATTAAAGATATCTTAAAGTTTATCGACGTGTGCCAAAAGTGCCAACAAAAAAATCAGGTTCGTCTCATTTTATTTTTGCTTTGTTTCCTTTTTACTAATGTTGTAACCGAAATGTTTTTATTTACTATTTTTAATGTTCCTTTCTTTTATGGTTCAAAGAAAAATCTTGAACTTGAATAGTTTTTTGGCACATATTCTAATACTTAAATATAACTTGAATATGCGATCCAAGAATTTATTTTTGGGTTGCCATGTGCAAATTGTAGCAACGCTTAATGTTGTGATGCACGTTTGAGTTTCCGGGTTCATAATTTATAAGCTATTAACATAGGTTCGTTAAGTGTTTTCGTTTTCGCAATGGAAATACTTTCGTTTTACACTAATTGAAAAAAAAAAAGCAAACAGTAATAAATTATTTTATAAACTAGAATTATTTTGTGTAGCTTATTTAGAAAGGATTTTTATTTAACGTACCTTTTTCGATAAAATATGATCACTTGAAAAGGATAAATACACAAAAACGTTTTTTAAATCTCCGCCTACAAGAGTATTGTCATTTCAAGTAATAAATTAAATGTTAAGGGTAATTAATTTTTATTACCACAACATTTTTTCACAATATCTATATTTAATATTAATAAAAACTGGTTTTAAAGGAGAAAACTTCTTTCTTTACCTTTCCTTTTTATACACACTGTTTTTCAGTTTGAGTTTTAAAATAAGGAAAAATCATACAAGGCCTTTAAATCTGGTTCTACAGAATCTGGATTTGTATTTTGTTCATCGACCTTGCTTAAGACTTTGTTTCCTGTTATGAGATTTTCTTGTTACAGTATCTGCGTTAGAGTATAGATTACCGTTTATTCAAGAAATTTAGCTTTAGGTTAAGTTAATAGGCTATAAGTTGCTACGAGGACAGAATTTTTGCTTATTTTTTTTAATTATTTTTCTTTCAAAATAGAAATTATTGAAGAGTATTTAAAAAGTTGCTCAAGTTAGAAATTAAAAAGAGTTTCTTCATGAATTAGAGAATTTATACTAAAAAAGGGTGTCATGTTTGATTGACTTTTCATTTTTCGCCATATTTTCCTATTGCATTGGATTCGGTTTGGTATATTTGGGAAAAGCTGCAGATATATTTGTTAAACAATTTTCTTTTACTTTCTAAGTTTTTGCAATTTTGCCCCACGGTTAAATGTAATTACTCTATTATCTACAGAATACCAACGAAATCAGCAAAATCTTCATTTCGGCAAGGAGTCCTATTTCTGAAAATGCTTGGACAATCGTCATTTTGACGTCATCGTCAGAGACTGGTTTGAACTTTATACATAGTTCTTAATTTGTTTAGGTGTTAATTCGCCCCTTATTAAAATCCTCTTGCATTCTCTCAATATGTTCCGTTTTTTCCTCTCACACAATCTTCTATTACTTCTCAATACTCTTCATCAAACCATGATGCTATATTCGACTTTTTTGCTTTCCTAATGTTGATACTGCAGTATCTGCTATTGCCATGTTGTGTATCTAGCTATAGTTCTGTTAGCTTTCTAGTAACTTTCTCTTGGAAACATTCTGTATATTTGGGCATTTTAATTATTCCTTTGTTTATCTGTGGTCTTTTCTTTATTTCTGTGTCTTAATCTGTTTTAAGTGGGTTTTTTGTACTCCACGGTCGGGTTGGGGTCCAATAAAGGGCGTCCTCGCTTCCTCTTTGGCCAGCTTGTCCTCCTTTTCATTGCCCTATCTTTGGCCAATATCTTTGTTACCTGGAACCCACCATAGAGTAACATTATTGCCCCTAGCGAGTTCTCTCAGGTTGCCGGTACATTTTCAGCTTTTCCAGCTTTTTGTCAGCTTCATTGGAGGCGAAATTTAATTCTTTATAATGTGTGGTAATTTATGTAAAATTCTTTCTCCTACGAGCGGGAATTATCACAGGTATACTTCATCAAAAAACTTCTAAATTTCAACCACACATTATCTAAAGTATACTAAAAATGCCAGTATATTTATTTTTTGATTTTTCTGACCTATCTAAAAGAGAATACATTATGTGAAATAGTGATATCTCTGATCGATGCTAATTCAATAAAAACCTAACCCGCATTGTACATACATGAAGTACTCAATACGATTTTATAATGAGAGTTAAATCAATTCGCGCGAAACCATTCAGAGGCATAAAAACGCATCACCTAAAATGACGACCAGTTTCAACTGCAATAACTTTTGAACGTATTGCTCGATTTGAATAAAGTTTTTTTTATTTGAAAGGTCTACCGTTTGCCAATATTTATTTATATATTCCCCATTTTAGCGCTCTTCAATTTCAGAAATGGTGAATAACGCTAATGTGTGTTTTCTTCCTACACTTTGAAACTTACTGTGGGGTGCACCGACAAAAGAAATTAATTTTAAACATAAGGAGCTTATAGTTTTATTGTTGTTAACACGAAAGGTACAAGCTTTAAAGGATAACGCAGCTTCTTCGGCAGCGCCATCAGAAATTAAAGCAAGTCATAGATGTCGATGAAGTTTAATTTTAAAATACGTTCAAAAGTTATTGCTGTTTGAAACTCATCATCATTTTAGGTGATACGTTTTTTATGCCGCTGAGTGTATTTCAGCGGGTGTGAGGAGTCTTTAAAGGTATAGGACAGGAACGGCTTAAGCGCATTGTACAAATTATTGTTTTTTTTGCATTTATTTTTCTACCTAATCTCATTACATTACAGTTGTTTGAGTAGGTTCTGAAGGAATTCGCAGGAACGGGTTAAGAGCACGCGTTCAGAAACGCGTTTCTGGATTGATTTTAAAAATTTAAATTAAATTGAAATTTTTCGCATCAGAAATTAAATAATAAACCAATTGCAATGAAGCATATGAAAATGTATGTCAATGCATAAATGTTTAAAAGCAAAGTGTTTTGTCACACTATTTTTTACTGGAAACCACAACAATTTATTGTCGGTAGATTAGCAGTACTGTTGTTATTCGGGGGTTTATTTACGGTTTTACACAAATAAAAACAACAACCAATTTTTAAACAATACATTTGTCAAGGTCTCTTTGTGTGGATTTATTGTTGATTTGTTAACGGTTATTCTGGAAATTATATTGATAAGACAGTGGATATATAAGTAAATTTCTTTTCATTGCATTCATAAGTTTGACTCGTTGTCATCAAAAACGTACCTAATACAAATAATCCTACCGACATGCCTAGCATTATACGAAAGAAGTTAAAGAAGTAATTACTAATGTAAAACATTTTTTTTCAACAAGAAACAGATAAAGATCCTCCATATTGTGAGCATTCCTTGATTATAGGTTCAATCAAGGAATGCTCACAATATGGAAATATAGAGGATCCTACAGAAAGAACAAATCGCAAAAACATTGATTGTGACGATTTCTTGCAAGATGTTATAAGACGCATGATATTCAACTTTTACATTGACAGAAGGATTTTTAGAAATAGGCGTTTGATGAAATGTTGAAATTAGGTTAAATTTGAAATAGTCAAAAAAGTAAGAATTTCAAAAAATCACTGCGTTCATATTTTCAAGCGTTAGAAAACAATTTATGTCTAAAATTGAAGGTTAAAGCTTCCATTTTAAGATGATGTATGACACCGGGGGTGTTTGATCAAGAAGAGTTTTCGAAAAAGCCGTTTTAAGTAATGTTTTTTAAAATTAGGTTATGTCTGAAATTGTCAATAAAATAAGAATTTAAAAAAATCACTGCTTCTACATTCCTCAGAGTTAGTAAACCATTTATGGCTCAAATTGAGGGTTAAAGCTTCTATTTTAAGATGATATATGATATGTTAGGTATTTGATTAAAAAGATTTTTAGAGAAAGGTGATTGAAGAAATGTTGTTGAAATTAGGTTTAGTTGGAAATTGACAAAAAAGTAAGAATTTCAAAAAATCAGCGCATCCTTATTTTTAAGAATTAGAATACGATTTATGGCTCAAATTGAGGATTGAAGCTTCTCTTTTAGGATGATTTATTTATTTATTTATTATTGGGACACAAACAGGGAGGATATCCCCAGTGAAGCATCCTCATAAAAACAAAGCACTTAACTACATACCAAGCAAAAAAACGAGAAAAGAAAAAAAAATAACAATAATTATAACATTAACTATGAAAATAATAATAACAGCATTGATAGTTGCTAATTAAAAAAAAATTACAAAAAAAAAAAAAGCGAAAAATATTATATAATTGTACTACAATACAGAAGATAACAACTAAACGTTACGTAATAGTAATTCTCTAAATGAGCGCAACGAGAGTCCAAATAGAGTAACATGGTTGAAGTCCTGATTGTAAGTATTCAAAAGCCGAACGATAGGCGATTTTAGATGAGCGTTCGTGTTCGATGTGCCTAAAAGGAATGTAGTATTCCGCCGCGTGAAACGCTGTGGTACATTAAAGTTCAACACAGACAGAAGATCAGGTGCGTCCAGCAAGCCATTGACCAGTTTGAAAAGAAAAATTAAGTCTGAGACTAGCCGACGCTGCCGCAGGGATAATAAGTTAAAAACCACACAGCGTCTATCGTAATCGCAATAGGGAAGATGATATTTGTAAGCCAGATAGCGTACAAAGCGTCGTTGAACCGCTTCGATGCGATCACGATAGACCGCGTACATAGGATTCCACACTATGGAACCATAGGATAATACGCTATNATATGAATAAATGTTAAGAAAATCAATCGCGCGACGGTCGAAATTCCCTGTGGGAATTAATACATCATCTTCAGACATAGACCAAGAGATAGTTGGCATGTTGAAATCACCTATAATAACAATCATAATTTCCGGGTAGGCATCGCGCACAGCAGACACACTGGACAAAAACAGATTCAGCGCTTCATCAGCAGAAGGAGGAAGATAAACACAGCACAAAAGAAAAATTAGTTGACCGCACTGAACTTTCAACCACAAGTCCTCCGCACCACTTTGCAGACTCGGCATGGGAACGGTATGAAAGCCATGCTTCGCAGCTATAAGGACTCCGCCACCATCGCGCTTGGTGGAAGCCGTTGAATTTCTATCGCGACGATATACGGTATAAGATGAGTTGAGTAACTCCTTGTCGGATATGCTATCATTAAGAAATGTTTCAGTAAGGCAGATAAAATCCGCCAATAAGGCATGTGAATTGATTGAACAAGTATTAGTCTTGGATCGTAAACCACGGACGTTCTGATAATAGAAGCTGATACCCATAAACCGTTAAAAAGTGATAGGAACAACAATAAAAACGACGAGGGCCATCTTACAATTTATTCAAGTCAGACGACGATTTGATCACCAAAATCTTCGCTCTATCATCTTTCCGCACATGGATCACGCAGCTCTTCGTCCAGATATACTTGTAGTTTTTATTTCTCGCGATTTCTCGCACCTTACTAAAGAGGTCCATGTTACGAGCCGTAAGATGTTCATTAATGTAAAGATTATCCGCAACGTCGGGAATCGACAGACAACGGCCATTGGCACTGCGACGATATAATTTGGCCGCGCTAAAAATACGGTCACGTGTTATTCTGGAGGTGAACTTTACTATAATGGCCTTAGCGCGCGACTTGTCTTTTCCTGGAGATGGTCTTTGAGGCAAGCGATGAACTGCATCTATATCGGAAGCCACAATAGGAGATTTGATAGCTTCCGCAATGTTGGACACAATTTCGGGAAGATTTTCTCCTACATGTTCGGGAACTCCCGCGATGATCAGATTATTGAGCCGCGAAAACTGCTCGAGGTGATCAAGGCGACACTCCGCAGCAGCTAGATCAGCCTTAAGTTTAGAATTTACAGCGACCAGCGCATCGACTTGCTTAATCTTATCACCGAAATGGTTAAGGGCTCGCTCGAAATCAGTGATTTTGTCGCCGTAGAAGGAAATTGACTTAACAATCTCGTCGTATTTGTTTGATAAATTCTTTACATCATTCTGAATAGATGATAAGAGACGGTACAGTTGAGCATTGCTAGGGCCACTAGAAGACTGGGAATCAGAGATTTCATCGTCAATTATGACGGATTTATCCAAATTTCCTCGATATTTGGAACATTTCTCAAATATAACAATCGCACAACACTACTTAGAAACTCAAGAGACGCGATTATGCGACCGTACACATCGCACGTTTTCGCGACTATATGTCGCGAATAATACTTTAACTACCGAAATGTCAGAAAAGTTTGACCCAAACACAGCATTCTCTTTGATTCCTGTAATGGATGACAATGAGGACGCTACTAAGCAATTAATAGATGCTATTGAGTTTTGCGGAGATACATTAGATAATGCTCGTTAAATACGTTCTGAAAACACGTCTCAGTCAAAACGCAAAAATAAGATTAAGCGATTCTTATAATTCGATCGCGGAACTGACGAGAGACATCCGAAAACATTTAATAACCACGCAATCCGCAGCCGTTTCGTCAGTAAAATTACACCAAGCGCGGCAAAATTTAAAGACCTTAGACGAGTTCGGGAAGGATATCGAATCCATGATGACTAATTTAACCATATTTCAGGCGAACGGTGATAAAAACGCAATGACAGTTCTATCTTCCATTAATGAAAAACTTGCTATTAATGCTTTCTGTAATGGCATCAGAAGTACCAATCTTGGTACAATTGTTAAATCTCGCGATTGTTCAACGCTTACAAGCTTTTTATTAAAAAAAGGAAAATTGTAGTAATAATGACGTATAGGCAACCAGACATACATAACGGGAGGTGATTTGGTCGTCGTAGTTAACGTAGTTAAATAAGGACCACTTTGTAATAATTGTCTAGATTAAATAAACTAAATAAAAACAATTACATGGACATATTTCATTAAATACTACAACCACAAATTTCTTTTTGAAATTACCGGTCTTCATTCAAGACCCCTTAGAAAATTTCTTTGGGCAAATCCGTCAAAGGGGTATTTCAAAGGAATGTTAACCCAACATCTTCACAATTGAAAAACCATTACAAAACATTGATAATAAATAATTTAACATCACGGTATTCGTTTAATGCTAATTGTGAAGCGGACTCCTTAAATTTAATAACCAATATGCAAGATTTTATTAGAGAAAATGTAATTTTTTCGCCCGAAAAAATCACTCTAACAATAAGTGAAGATTTAATAAATAAAATAATAAATATTACAGTGGGCAATATATTATCAATTGATGCCTTTGCAACATCATATGTGGCTGGATACACATACAAAAAAATTAGAACATTGCATCAATGTGAGCACCGCAAAAAAAATTTAATATCCAATAATACTGTAGCGATCCGCAGATCAGTTCAGATTTTGGTAATTAATTATTGATATTTTTATTCATTCTCGGATAGAGGGGATCGCTGCTCGACTCATCCCTCCCTTCCTTTTCTTTTGTCTAATTGTTATAATTGTAATTGTTTGATTGGTTAAACCACGCGTTGACCAATAAGATCATTCTTAGAGTTAAGAGCGTTCAGAGGGAAAACGTTTTCCTTTTGTTTTCCTTCCCTCTCTTTTGTTTAATTGCTGATGTTGCAATTTCTAATTGGTTGAGCCATGTGTTGGCCAATAAGGACTTTCCTAGAGGAAAGAGAGTCCAGGGGGTAAAGGTTTAAATATTGAGGAGGAGCGCCTTTTAGGACAGTTTTTGGTTTGATTTAAAATTAATTCCTTCGGCGAAGCACCCTGTTCGGTTTCGGTTAAGAGTCTTAGTGTAAAGTCCGACTAAGACTCCGGTAATTTTTAAGTTTGATGTAAGTTATTTAATTATTAACTAACTTTTATTCGATCAAATTAAAATTAAAGTGTTATACTTTTTGACGAGTCGCTCCTCTTAATATGATCGCTTTAACCCTTGGTAAGTCGTTAATGTTTTATTTTATATATTAACTTGTAAAGATTGTAACTAATTGCTTTGCCTTCTTCTGATTTGGTATAAACCTACGTAATATTCGATGTTATTTTTGAATTATTCATTTTATTAAATTGATCATTTTGTAATTGTTGAACTTAGATATTTTTTGATGTTTTTAATTAAATTGCTTATACAGATTTTCAAGTAAAGTCAGGTAAATTACTAGATTAAAATTTCTCTTGTTAATCAATATAAGTTTTCGAGTTATTTTTGTAGCTAAATTTTGTCTGTTCCAGTTTATTTTAACTTTAATTCTGTTTATTAATTTTAGGTTGTATTTTATTTCTTTTGCTATTGTTTTCGTTTGATTTCACTTCATTAAATTTGTTATTTAAATTTGACTTGATTTCTTTTATTAAATTTCATTTAACTTTGCTCCCTAAATCCAAGCCGGCGTGACAAGGTTCTGCTTGTCGCATACGCCTTTAGCACGCCCACACAACAAAGTAAGAGCCGCTCCTTACAATACTTATAAAGACTGGTATATGTTTGTAAAAGAAAAAGAACATGATCTAAATATACCAAGTAGATTAAAATATGCAACGCCGGAATTAATTTACATTTTGACTAGATTACACAAACTTTGCCAAATTAGCTCTGTTTTGGTTCACTTTTTCGTTATCGATTCTGGACGGTTCCGAACCGTTTTAAACTGCTTGCGCAGTAAAATAATGTCCTAACGTTCGCACAGTTAACTAACCGTAGAAATAAAACAGAAATCTGCTAGAAGCTGCTGCGTACAGATGTCGAACTAACTGAAAAGTAACACATTTCGTAACTTACATGTGAACCTAGCATAACGTTACTGGAAGTAGTTAGTGATGCACCGTAATTTTTAATGTTTCTATATAAAATCAACGACATATATTTTACAATGACCTGCGAAAGTCATAAAGGTAAGGGTACAACGTATTAATTAATAAATCTTAATTAATAAAACATACCTTTCAGATTTTTATTTTTTAATGTACATAACACTAAGGAGCTAATAAGATTACATGGACTTTATAGAAATAAAGTTGGAACCAGCTCAACATTAAAAAACATCAACCAAATGTGGGTGGTGATTTCAAAGGAGCTAGGCAAAAATGGGACCACTATTAGCGACGTAAAATGTCAAAATCGTTGGACGGTTTTAGAGAAAAATTATAAAAAAATGATAGATAATGACCGCAAAACTGCAAAATTTTCGAATTCGAAAATGAGATACATGAGGTCTTAGATAGGAAGGCTACCAATGAATTTCCATTTCGTTTTTTCGTGAATCTGGAAAAACATTCTTGAGGCAACTTTTTATGAAAAATGTCATGACACAACTAGAAATTTTCTCAGATACTAATTCACCTGTATAATAGCGCCAATCACCTTGATACATGTTTCCAGTTGTAATGTCGTCTCTATCAACATTAGAGGATTGAATATAAGAAGAACTTTTAGTGCGTAAAAAGTTATGTAACACACAACACGCTAAAACAATATCATCAACTGTTTCTACTTTAGTAGCTATAGGTTGCAATAGAATTCTAAATCGGTTTGACATGATTCCAAATGCGTTTTCAACCACTCGTCTTGCACGGGAAACTCTGTAATTAAAAACCCGCTCTTCATAGCCTGTGGTATTACTTTGACTATACGGCTTCATTAGATTTGTCATCAAGGGAAAAGCTTCATCTCCAATGAACACGTATGGCAATTTATCACTAATTCCGGGTATATTAACGGGTTGTGGTATTTTTAAAGAATTTGACATTAATAAATTGTAAAATTCTGTGTTTTTTATGACACCACCACCAGAAATCCTGCCGTTGGTTCCAGAATATACGTAAATGAACTCATAGTTGGCATTTACATTTGCGAATAATACCGTGCTATAAAATCCTTTGTAATTATAAAAATATGAGCCGCTTCCTGGTGGCTGTTTAATCGCAATATGTTTGCCATCCATTGACCCCAAGCAGATTTCAAATTGCCACATTTTCTTAAAATCCATGGCTATTTTAATCCATTCTTCATCTTTTGACGGAAACTGAAAAAAAATATTATATAATTTTCAGCCAACAGATACATCCACAATAGATTCTGCTCGAGATACCACATCCCCACAAATTTCCCGTAAGCGGGCTCACTCTATTACTCCTTGGACAAAACGAAGGGATGAATTTATTGAAGCTGGCCTAAAAGTTTTACAAGAGCCAGAAGTAGCGCAAGGAACTGATTACCAGGAAAAAACATTCGGCACTAACATTGGACAACAACTCATAGACGTAGAACAGAGACAAAAGATAATAGCGCAAAAGTTAATTTCGGACGTTTTGTTCCATGCGAAGATGGGCAATTTAAATGAAAACTCAAGTATACAAATAGCGTCTCAACCGTTAGCGTATCAATATCAGGCTCCTTCGTACCTCCATAACCCACAACCAATATTCAGGGGTAATATACCAACCCCTCCAACGACCACTACTACCACCCTTCATGATTTAAATGAATTCGTCACATTTAAACAAAACTAAAGCAGACAAAAATTTTATTTTATTTTTGGAGAGTTTATTTTCGTTTAATTTAACATTTAAATATAAATGTTAACTTTTTACTATTTATTTTTTATTTTGTTTTATTTTTAGTTTATAATAAACGCAGATATAAGTGACTTGTTGTTTGTTTTTTTTGTATTTTTTGTATTCCCCAGCAAGTAAAATATCATTAAACTATTTTTCCGTCAATCGTCTATTTATGAAAAATTAGCAACGGTGAAGAAGCCATACCCGACAAAATTAAATAGCCAACACTTACCTTTAAGTATTTTTTTCGTAAGACTTTGTATATTGCACGGCAAGTTTCCGGAATTATACGGCCAAGTAATTGAGTGGAAATAACGTAACTGAATTTTAGATCTTCAAAACTTCTTCCAGTTGCCAAAAATCTTAATGTAGCTATTAACCGCTCTTCTGGAGTAACCGCATCTCTCATTAATGTGTCTTTTCTCTCTATTAGAGGAGTTATTTCGCTTAATAATTGTGCAAATGTGGGGTAATCCATTCTCAGGTAATTTATAAAATCAGGAGGTTCACTTGCTTGAATGGATTTCAGTAAACGTAAGTGGGTGAACCGTTCCCTATTCCTCAACCATTCCTTCGTCCACACACGTTTTTTCTTCTTCTTTTCGTCATTTAACATTATCATTGCACCGATAAGTATTGCAATTTTCTTTCTTCTTGACGCCATGCTCGCCGTGGTTGGCAATCAAGTGACTGTTGTTGTTTGGTTCGGGTACGGTCTGGGATATGTATGGACACTGACGGATGGGTTCGTTGTCGGGTCGTGGTCGCAGGTCGGATCCGAGTTCGCCTAGTGAATGGCCTGCTTTACCTCCCAAGAGTGCCGGAACGCAAGGGAACGCACGTAACTCTAAAACTACAAATTTTAAAAAAGGTAGGATCAATTTAGGCTTTGCTCGCGAGCGGCTTGTAAGCAGATAATAAGCGCCCTAACAAGCGATTGTGATGCACCTAATCAGGGAGGAAGGTCAGTCATATCGTTTGCGCCACACAATAACAAAACAATACCCTCCGCCTATCCCTCCATTCCTTCACCGCGCCACCGCACACACATCACATTGGCAGTGGCAAGTGGCAACACTGATCACAGCATAGGTTACGTTGACGCGTTCGTGTTTGTTTGTACTTACTACTGCTAGTGCAGCTACAAAAGTTTACTACTCGAGTTATGAACACCAGAAAAATTTTTGATTTCTTTAAACCTTTACCTAACCCTAAGAAACAAAAAGTTAATGTGAATAATGAGAAATGCAGTTCGGAAGCATCGACTACGACTCCAATTGTTGATCTAGATCAAAAAGAAGACGCAATCGGAATCAAGGAGGATGATTACCCTTCAACTTCCTCATCGGACAAAGAAGTATCCAGGTTGGTGGGATTAGGATCTGATTCAGACGATGGTAAGATTAGTAATGAAGACAGTGATTATGTTAATGGGGATAAACACCCAGTTTGTTGGTCTCTTGAACAAATTATTGAATTTAAAGCAAAAAATCCATGGTTAATTGTGAACAAAGAAATAGGTTGTAATATTTGCAGAAGCGTGAGTACTCTAGGTGCCGAGAAAACAAAGGGCCTTAAAATTAGTGAAGAGTGGGTTTTAGGAACCGTTACCGCTTATGGAAACAATAAAAAAGACCAACAATCCTCTCTTAGGAAAAAGATGTTTTTACACCGTGGGTCTCGAGCTCACTCTTTAGCTGAAAAAATACTCAATGAAGCAAAGAAAGATAAAATGAAAAAAGCTGTTGCTTCTATGCATCAGGAACAGCAGATTGTTACTGAGCGCATTTTCCGCACGGCTTATAAGCAGGCCAAACTAAATAGGCCGTTTTTTGAGTTTGAAACAGAAATCGATCTTCAAATAATCAATGGTTTGGATATGGGCCGAATACTCCATTCAAATGTTGCTTGCTCCAACATAGTTCATCATATTTCTGATGAAATGAAATCAGACTTAATAAATGGCCTAATCAAGTCAGACTCTAAATTTTCACTGCTTTTGGATGAGGCAACTTCAGTTTCGAACAAAAATGCTTTGGTGGTTTATATCAGAACTGTTTTAAAAGGAATGCAAAACCCTATGACAATGTTCTTAACACTTTTTGAGCTAAATAGCACAACATCAGCTGGTATTTTACAAGAACTTTTTAATCAGTTACAAGCATTAGGTCTAAGCTTTGAATTCATGAAAGACCATATGATTGCTCTAACTTGTGACGGTGCATCAGTGCTACTAGGCAAAAAATCTGGCCTTGCTATGCAGCTTACTGAAACATTCCCCAACCTGTTCATTTGGCATTGTTTAAACCATCGTTTAGAGCTTGCCGTGCACGATTCGGTAGAAGAAGTAGCTGGAATCAATCATTTCAAGATATTCATGGATAAAATTAGAAACATGTTTAGTTGCTCTCCGAAAAATAGCAGGGAGTTGGCAGAAGTTGCTAAAGGACTAGAGGAGCAGATTTTGAAAATCGGCCGTGTTTTAGATACTCGTTGGGTAGCCTCCAGCTTAATGGCGGTGAAAGCAGTATGGACAGATTTTAAAGCTTTGTACAATCATTTTTTACAAGCATCTGAAGAGAAGCAACGGGACTTGAAACAACGTTCGTCTTACAAAGGGCTTTGTAGTACATTGTCATCTACAACTTTTGTACACAACCTGGTGTTGATGTACGATGCTTTAGATGAGTTAGCGGATTTATCCTTACAGCTTCAGCAATCAAGCCTCAACTTAATCCAAGCTCACAGTGACGTAACAATGTTAATAAAAGTGTTTGAAAACCGAGTTGATAACATGGGTAGACGTGCAGTGGAAGCTAAAATTGCTATAGACAATATGAAGTTTCAAGATGTTGAACTTTGTGAAAGAGCCAAGATTCCGATTATTCCAGAAAAACAGTTCTACCGGAGCCTTGCTAACAACTTGACTTCAAGGTTGCTATCATCGTCAAATGCGTCTGAAAACTACAACTCCATCATGAATGACATCAAAGTGATCCACCCCATGTATTAGCCAAAAGACTTATCTATCACCTACGGAGAATACGAGATCCAGCGAATCTGCGATAAATTCAAGATTCGCAGCTCTCGGGATATAATTAGAGACTTCAGACGCTTCAAGCAGGGACTGAAGACTATGATAAGCGGAGAGAAACCTACTATTCTTGAGCAGCCGCCGTCGTTTAAGAAACTGATCTCAATCATAAATAGTATTGCAGTGTCTAGTGCTGAATGTGAACGTGGGTTTTCTGCAATGAATTTAATTATGTCTCCTCTAAGATCTTCACTCTACATCAGCACTGTTTCTGATTTATTGCGGATTAGGCTCCTGGGACCTCCTGTGGCTAGATACAATCCTGAGCGACACGTCAAGTCTTGGCTGGCGAAGGGACACCATTCTCCACTTGACACCAAGTCAAAACAACGAAGGCAGAAAACGTACAATGAAGACAGCATTGCATTGTGGGTACTTTTTTCCTAAAACTCGTTCTCTTTTAATATCTTTTAGGTTTTTAGAACACTAAGTTTTCAAAAACATTACTTGTAGTTGTGTTGTGAAAAAGAATTTTCTCTGTTTTTTTTTATTATTTACAATTAGTTTTCTATTGTTGTTTTGTAGTTTCCACTTTTAAAAATTAACAAACAACTTTTTATTTTTCTACCTGTTGTCATTAAACATTTCCTTTCTTTTGTGTGAAGTGGGTTTATTTTGAAGGTATAAATAATTATTTTGAAAATATAAAAAATCACAATTCAAGCTGTAACATTAAAAATAGATTTTAAACATTTAGACTTACTAGTTTTTCCAGAAAGTTATCAAAAACATCTGTTTACGTATTGATATGAATTATTACTACTATACTGTAGGCCTAATATAAGAAAAGTAGTAGAAGAAAAAAAGTAGGGAAAATGTATTTTGGTACACAAATTAATGATGACAACAGACCAGCTGCTACTACTGTGTTAGTTTACATGGTAGTAGCAGTAAATGGAAACTGGAAAGTTCCAGTCGCCTACTTTCTAATAAATAATGTAGTAATATCTACCTACCAGTATTAAGATCTAACTTAAATAATTAGAATACATTAAAAAATAAAGTCCAGAATACGAAGTTAGGGAGATCAGAAGTACAAGAGAGAATTGTAGAATCATTAGTATCGGAGACCAAAACGTGGTTCTTCTACCTAAAAGAGATAAATTAAATTAATATCAAATAAAAAACCATGAGTCCAAATTAGTTAAATTAAATGAACAGATCAGTATTGAACGAATTAAAAAGAAATAACTTACGGTTTAACGTTTTAATAGAGATTCCTACGAGTAGCCATGTACTTTGTTCACTGTTTAGATTAAGTTATTGTAATTTTAAGTTCCGTTGTATTGTTAGTAAATTTATTCGTAAACCAGGGTATTTGCCGTTGTTGATTCGTTTAAAGTTGCGTATTTCCTTTGTAATTTAACTTAGCTAGAGAAACCTCAAAAGCGAAAGACATAACCTCAAATGTCAATTTTTCAATGTATTTATTTTCCAAAAGAAAACCTTTTAGTAACTAAAAAGAGAAAGATTAGAATACAAATATCATAAATCAAAAGAAAATTCAATGGTGAAAGCTTAGATTGAAGGGGAAATTGGGTAGTTCGGAGTGAATTTGCCAAATGTCCGAAATGAAGGAGAATTAAAGAAACTCCATTTGCTGGGGTAAAATAAAGTGCGCGAATCAAGAAAGTAGAAAGAAATGTGAGTAAAATGGTCATTTTATGGAAATTTTTGTGAAAGTTTGGAAAATTTGGTTAGTTCCGAATTTAATCAAGAGATGGCGCTAAAATCGAAATTTTTGACCAAATTTGGAAAGTTTGATCGGCGAAGGACCAGTTGCCATGGGAATGAGGAAATTTTCAGAGGGGGAACACCGAGTCTATATAAGAGCGAAGAAAAGTCGGTCTACAGAAGAGTCTACGTAAGTCAGTCGAAGTGGTCAGTTCGTGTATCAAAATTTTTGACATTTAACCTAAAACTACGAAGTATTTAAAAAAAAAAGAAATTAAGAAATTGAAAGAGAAGAAAAGATAATTATCATCAAGAGAAGAAAATTAAAAGAATTTAACTAAGAAGAGAAAAAAAAATATAAATAAAACGTCGAGTCAAAATCTACGTACCTGGAAGAAGAAAATTTAATCCCGGAGGAGTTTGAAGAAGAGAAAAAAAATAAAGAAATATTCCCGAGAGGAGAAGATCCATCTTCGACGAGCTGAAGGAAAGGTCCATATTGACGAGGTGAAGAAATAAAAGGAACCATCCAAAAAAGAAAGACCAGCCAGAGAGGAATTGGTTGTTTCGAGTTCAATCCGATAAATCGACATCTGAAAACAGGATTAAAGCTAAGAATTTTCGATTTTTTCTTTCTCATTTGATTATTTAAACAAATCACTTACCTTAAATTTAATGATAATTTCACTCATTTTCCACAATTAACAAATTTTTCTGATTGAATTCTGCGGAAACTATTTTTGTTTGTATTCATTCATCTCATAACAGAAAGCGAGGTTATGAATCCAATTTAGTATTTTGACAGTTCGATAACTATATTTGATCTAATAATAGAAACCTCTAAATTACTGAATCATTTTAATTATTTCTGGATAATATTTTAAATTTCAAACATTCATTTACAAACAAAGATAATTGGAGTTTGTGTGTTTCGCTAAGAGAACCGACTAAAATCCCTGAGCGTAAAATAATTTGAGTCTCGTGCTAGGTTAGAATTTAAAATACATTTTTGTTTGTTATTGTTAATTAAATTTTTTTAAATATTTATTTTGTTCTCAAAAAATAAAAAAATTATATAGTTTGTTATCAAAAAATCAAATAATTTTTCTTTATTAACGCTACAAATTGGCACCAAAACGTAAGGCCCACCAAAATCAACACATAAAATTGTCACCCGAACGTGGGGCACAAAAAATTGAAATTATTATAATACATTAAATTCGCTAGAGAAAGCTAATATTACAAAACTTGTTATAGAAAATATTTTGGCGACAGGGGTGAAGATAATATCACTGACATGTTGACGGTCCTGTTACCAATATAAAAGCAGCAAAGTCCATTGGTCTTTCATTCAATATTAAGGAGACCACTCTATCGATCGATGAGAAAATTTCGATTTTTTTTTTGCTTGAAAATATGCCTGAAAATTTTTATCCCGAAATTTTAAGTCCATACCCTCCAAAATTATCATTAGCGTACGTGTATCGAGGTAACCGGCCGCCGCATTGCTGGCGTAACATACGTCCGGTATAGCTTCAGTAAACACATGGAATAAACAAACATGTCTACCTATCCTCGAAGACCGAATGCAACCGGACATCGCGCTTCTCGGTCACGAAAACGACGGTTCCTAGGGAATCAATATTCAGAATCGAATCAACAGAACGAGTCGACCGAAGAAGTAAATATCAGCGCGAGTGCCAAGAAGCTCGATTGTGACGATGATAACGGGGTATTTCAAAATGCTCTTTTTGGATACCGAGTGATAGAGATTTTTACCTTCTTTGTTGGATTGTCTGAGTTTCTAGTGTGTGCTGAGTGTCATGGGAAAACCAACTTCAAGGAGAATTCAAAGCGCGGTTTGGGCTTCAAGATCGGCGTGCAATGTTCTTGTGCCACAAGAGAAATATTTTCAGGTCCATTAGTGAACGCTGGTTATGAAATAAACAGAAGAATTGTCATAGTGATGCGTCTTCTTGGCGTCAGCTTAGAGGGCCAGAATTTATTTTTTAATTATATGGACATATGCTCCGGTTTGAGTTCTGGAGCATACATGAACATAATGAACCACTTACATGCCAGTGCTGAATCAATATTCAAATTGTGTAGAAGAAAAGCAGCTGAAGAGGAACAAAAAGAAAATGAGAAGCGGGAAAAGCCGCTGTTAGATTTACATGTCTCCGGCGACGCTTCTTGGAAGAAACGAGGTTTCTCGTCTCTAGAAGGAGTCACAACGCTCATTGGACACTACTCTGGAAAAGTGATCGATCTCATTGTAAAGAGCAGTTACTGTGCTAGGTGCAACACGATGAAGAATAAGAAAGGCACAGAAGAGTATGACGAATGGTTTACGGAACACGAGGAAGTGTATTCCAAGAACCACGAAGGGTCGGCTGGCAAAATGGAAGTGACTCAGTGCGTGAAATGTTCCAACGATCTGAGTCATTGTTCGGGGTAAAATACACCAACTATATAGGGGACGGTGATTCGAAAACTTTCAAGGGCATTTTAGATTCATCGCCCTATGGTCCAAATGTAATCGTGAAAAAAAAGGAGTGTATCTGCCACGTGCAAAAACAAATGGGGACCAGACTCAGAAATATCAAGAAGACGAAAAAGCTGGGAGGAAAAGGGATGTTGACAGACGCACTGATAAAAAAACTGACTCTTTATTACGGATTAGCTATTCGTAGAAACGTGGACTGCGCCAAAAAAATTAAGGAGGCTATTATGGCTACATATTATCATCTGTGCGCAACCAACAAAACAGCTAAAACCAGCCACAAGTACTGCCCAACTGGAGCCGACAGCTGGTGCGAGTGGCAGAAGGCAAAGGCTTGCAGAAATACGTATTCTCATCCTCCTCCCTTGCATGAAGACATCCAGGAGCATCTTCTCCCGATCTATGAAGATCTATCTAGAGACGACTTGTTGGAAAGATGTGTCGGTGGGTTCTCGCAGAACGCCAACGAGAGTTTTAATTTCATCATCTGGCGCTACGCCCCAAAACACTTGAATAATGGGGCCTCGACTGTTGAACTCGCATCTCATTTGGCCGCAATCGTATTCAATGAAGGACATAAGGGGATTCTACAAGTGATGAATGATTGTAAAATCGCGATCGGCAGCCAAGCGGCGGAATATGCGCGAGACACAGATATTACGAGGGTAAACCGTGCTGAAAAATGCGCCAGTCTCGCAACAAAACAGGTGAGATCGGCTCAGAAAAAATCAGAAAATACTTCACAACGATTTGAAGAGATGGACTATGGACCAGGGATAGCAGACTAATCGTCATAAAGGTAAATTGATTGATTTTCTTAAGTTTTTTCATTACCCTAACTTTAATCGCGTTTTTCTCGAAACAACATTTTTTCGTGGTCTGTCCCGGATAACTCGCGTTGTAATTGACCTAGTGGCTTGAAATTTTGACATGTTATTCATTACACTTTCCCGAAACGAATCAACCTCCATAATGTAGAAATGTTTAAAAAAATTCATTGTTTTTGCAAAAAAAATAAGTACCAAATATCAGTTTTTTTTTAATTATTTCTTCTATGAAATTAACCAATTTATCAAATTCGATTGAGGTTGATTTGGAATGCATTGATAAAACGAACTCAAAAAAAATTATTCGTGTTTCAGACAACCGGAAGTAGCTGGAGACAGGACAAACTCGAATTTCCATGTACATTGGGAACCTCGCTGGGGCCGCCATTTTCAAATTAAAAAAAAAAAAAAAATATTGATTTTGTTAATAAAACCCTTCAATAAAAATGCCTCGAAATTTGAAGAAGATCCGTCAATTCTTTCTATTCCAAAAACAATCCCGAATTGTCTTACCGGTCGATAGAGTGGTCCCCTTAATGATATTCAAACTCGGCTTGACATATCAAATGAAAATATTTTTTATGCCAGATAACTGTTACATGATAAAATTATTGCGAAGCGCTTTTTTCCAACAACAAATATTCATGTGGATAAACAGGTATGCCCCTCTTATAAACTTTTTAAAATCTTATAACCTGTGAATTACAGGAAATAAACATTTGTTATACAAAATCATTGTATGAATTGCAAAAACAACAACCTTTGCATCTGGCAAATAAGTAAACCAAGGCCCACATAAATTGAGATAAACAACTTATGAAGGTGCGGTCAAAAACGCCAAAATGGTAATATTAAACATGAAAATTAACAACGCGAAGAAGGAAATGTTATATGATCCGGGAGCACAGTACTCAATAATAGGAAACAGATTCTGGAGGGAGATAGGAAAACCGATATTAAAGACAACAGACAATTTAGTTGCATACACAGATATGGAAATAGAAACTCTAGGAACTGCTAAGGTTATCGTAGATTCGTTTAACAAAAGAAAAGAGCTGCTACTAGTTGTGACCAAGAAAGACGACATACCACTTTTTGGATTGGATTGATGCTTAGCGTTTAAATCGACAATGCCAGAAGGTGTACCCTAAAACAAACAAACAACAAAACAAAGGAAGATCAGTCTAAAAATAGCAAAGAAATAATTCATAAAGAACTGTGGATTATTTGATGGAACAGTTGGTACTATCCGAGCACATATGACACGGATTTACATTGCCGATAACATTACACCCAAGCATATCAGACCACGACGACCTACGTTAAGGGCGTAGAGCATGTGAAATACGAACTCGAGAAAGGAAAAGTAAGTAAGCCTCCTTTTTATTCCTTGATTTCCTGTGAATTTATTTAATATCGTGTTCAACAATGGATATACAAGAATTATTACGAAAACGCGAAGCAATAAAAGCTCAATTAACTCGATTTTAAACGTTTATTGATGAATTTACCATTGGCTTTACAAGAACAAGTGACTGCGGAACTAAACAGGTTAGTAAAAGAACAAGTATTAGAACCAGTTAACGCGACAAACACTGCCATAGTGTGGGCTACCCCGATCGTAGTAGCAGTAAAATCAAGTGGCAATATACGGATATGTGGCAGTAGGTAGGTATAAAACAAGGCTAGCTCTGACGTCAGAGGTAGCCGTAGTCAAAGTGACCCTTTCTCCTCCACCTCCCCGGCTTCCAGCCGACAAGGTTGCCCTCTAGCGCCGGGTAGCTGAACTACACGCACGTCATCGTCGTCGCCGACGGAGCCGTATCGATGTCGCTGGCGCACGGGTTCGCGGTGCCGGATGGGCTGGACCGCGGGGAACGGGTTGGGCGGGTGCGGGGCGGGTGGTTGCCGTACTAAATTTTTTGTTTGACAACAACTGACGTGGAGTGCATTAGCAATAA